CCGCTCTCTCCCCATAGCCCTGATCAACCCCACTCCCCCACTCTCCCCATAGCCCTGATCAACCCCACTCCTCCGCCTCTCCCATGGCCCTGGTCAACCCACGCCCCCGCTCTCTCCCCAAAGCCTGATCAACCCCACTCCCCCGCGTCTCCCCATAGCCCTGATCAACCCCACTCCCCCCACTCTCTCCTTAGCCCTGATCAACCCCACTCCCCCCACTCTCTCCATAGCCCTGATCAACCCCACTCCCCCCACTCTCTCCATAGCCCTGCAAACTTGCCCTCCCCAAATAATTGAGACCTGATTGATTGGAAACGTATTGTTCTGCTCCCAGAGCTTTAATAACGTGTTTTCAAAATTTAAACGAAACAAGCAAAACTAAGATAAAGTAAGACATTTTGAACTGGCAATGAACCAAATCATTCCAGGAATTATGAGTGAATGAACTTTTATGCATTTTCACAATGCCATATTATGCCAAAACCTATCAAAGCACTTCACGGCAATTACCGTCAAATGTAGTAACTGATTGTGTAACCATTTGCTCTGGAAAGTGCCACAAACAGCCACGGTGTGAATGATCAATGGATCTTTATGTTGACTAGGATACCAAGGGAAACTCCTTTCTTTTTACAAATAGTGTCATGCGATCATTAATGTTGACTCGGGTTTTAATGTCTCATCTTCTACATAGCGGTAACTCCCCATCATTATATCATGAGCTCATTTCCTAAACGCAGCCGTCAGACCAGAGGCAAGACCAATACCAACTGAGCCAAGCAGCGACACTCCTGGAGAGTAAGATTTCCATAGCGATGTGCAAAAATCTGATTAATAAATAATCCTTGCATTTGATGTAGCACCTTTCACATCTGGAGGTCATCTCAAAGCGCTGCTGTAAAGTGTAGTGACGGTATTCTGCAAGTGAAGGCAGACAACAATTTGCACACTGCAATGTCCCACAAACAGTCTTGAAGGGAATGACTCGTTTGTTATGTGGGGGGAATTGTTTGCCAGGACAGAGAGGGGCGGGGTGGAGGGGATGGGGGTTGGGGAGCGGTGGAGGGAGTTGCGGGAGATAAACAAGAAGCAATCTATGTTAGCAAAAGCCTTACCTTTCATCATTTTAGCTTGTGATGAAATGTAGCTTGTGATGAAACCAAGTTAAATGGACAGCTGGGTTGGGGTGTGTATTTCTGGGACTTGTTGCATGATCTTTGATTTGGGGGAATATAATTATTTACTCATCTGGAATAAAGCCTCCAGAGGCACATTAATGACAGCACCTGCTGTGCGCAGTGTCAGTCAGGCTTCCTTGAGTCCTGGAAAATGTGAACAAACAGATGCCACATCATCCCTCAAGGTATTGGGAGAATTCTGAAATGGTTTTATCCAGACTGCCTGTGTCTCGGGGAGCTGGTGTGTTCGTTTCTCAGTAAAAGCAATGGTGACAATAATAATAATAATAATAATAATAGTAGTGATAATAATAATCCTTGCATTTGATATAATGCTTCATCACATCTTCGAGGCGTCTCAAAGCGCTTCACAGTATACTGTAAAGTGAATCGACTGTATATTTTGTGGGCAATGGTGGGAAATGGGGAGCTTAAGTGAGTCTAATGTTAACAGCAAGAAGGCGTTCACAGCTGAGTTTCATTAGATGTTTGGGCTAATAGGCCCTGGACTGCGGTGCTCTGTGTCTTGTAGAAGCAATAAAAAGCACAACATCCAGTCGCAGTCTTGACAATGTGCCTGTCTACGACCTGTCTGAGTGTTTTACCTGTTGTGCAGAATTCTTCTCCTCGTGTATTTGTGCTGTACTCATTGGAAGGAGGAGAAAATCAGCAGGCTGCAAGCTTAAGGCGCTACCTGTTATGATCTTGTTTTTATTCCTCTCTTGAACTGCATTAACGAATGAACAATCATAATAATCCTGCATTTGATATAGCGCCTTTCGCGTCAGGAGGATGCCTTGAAGCCCTTCAAAGCACATCCTGTAAAGTGCAGTGACTGTATGTTGTTGGTGAACGTGCAGCCTGTTTTGCACCTAGAAATATTGCACATGAATCATAGATGTTAACAAAATCCTTACCTTTCATCATTTATTTTAGCTTGTGATGAAACCAAGTTAATCATAGAATTAAACAGCGCAGAGGGAGGCCATTCAGCCCATCGTGTCTGTGACGGCTCTTTGAAAAGAGCTTCTAAATCAATCCCACTCCCCCCCACGCTCTCCCCATAGTTCTGATCAACCCCACTCCCCCGCTCTTTCCCCATAGCCCTGATCAACCGCACTCCCCCGCTCTCTCCCCATAGCCCTGATCAACCCCACTCCCCCGCTCTCTCCCCATAGCCCTGATCAACCCCACTCCCCCGCTCTCTCCCCATAGCCCTGATCAACCGCACTCCCCCGCTCTCTCCCCATAGCCCTGATCAACCCCACTCCCCACTCTCTCCCCATAGCGCTGATCAACCCCACTCCCCCACTCTCTCCCCATAGCCCTGATCAACCCCACTCCCCCGCTCTCTCCCCATAGCCCTGATCAACCCCACTCCCCCACTCTCTCCCCATAGCCCTGATCAACCCAACTCCCCCGCTCTCTCCCCATAGCCCTGATCAACCGCACTCCCCCACTCTCTCCCCATAGCCCTGATCAACCCCACTCCCCCGGGCTCTCCCCATACCATTGCAAACTTGTCCTCCCCAAGTAATTATCTAAGTAAATGACCATTTTAATGTGGGGGGATTGTGCGCCAAGACACTGGGAGAAACTCCCTTCTCTTTTCGAATAGTGTCATGGAATCTTTCACGCCCACCTGAACAGGCAGGTGGGACCTCAGTTTGACATCTCATCCGAAGGACGGCACCTCCAAAAATGTGCTTTCTCTCCCCACACACTAATGGAGTGTCAGCCCAGACTCTGCAAGATCTGTGCAAAACCCACGATACTCTGTTGAATAGGAATTCAATGCAGTTGGTTGCCATGGATCTATCTGACCTGACTCAAACATGGTGGGAAGAAGGTGGGAGTGATTTACGCAGCACCCTGAGATTATTGCACTGCGTAAGAATAAACTCCCACTGCTACCAGCCACAGTGTTCGCAAGCCCTGGTTTAGTAGGAAGACAATAATAATAATCCTTTAATTTGATATAGTGCCTTATCACGTCTTCGAGACGTCTGAAAGCGCCTCAGAGAATATACTGTGAAGTGAATTGACTGCGTATTTTGTGGGCGAAACGCGGCAGCCAATTGCGCACAGCAGCGTCCCACAAACAGTCGTGGATTGAGTGCTTTGACTCGTATCGAACAGACCCATTTATCATTCAGCAGATTTAGTCACTGAAATGTGGTTCCTTTATTATCCTCTATAGAAACTCTGCATCTTACAAGCTGTCCACGGACAGACACACACTGTGACTTAAGCAGATCACGTTTCACAAACATGGAGCGTTTTTGGCGCATGATTTCTCACACAGTCGTTTAAAGATTCTCTCCAGCAAGAAAGAAAAGAAGAGGGAAGACAAAGTAGAGATAAGGGGGTGATAAAAGATCTCCACAGGTGGTTTTGAAGCACGTATTACACACTGATTGAGGCAGCTGGTCCTCTGAGTGAGAAATATTTGAAGAAAAAAAAGCAATAAGCTCCAACTGTGCATATAGTTATAACTGTGGTAAACAAATATGAAAACTTTGTAATATTTCAAATTCTGTCCGTCCACTCCACCTCCCCGCACCCCCCCCCTCCCCAAGATCGCATTTATAACCTGATTTATAACCTGAAGGGAGGATATTCCATCAGGATATATTACAATGAACACCTTTCGTAGGTAATGTGGCATTAAAACCGGATGAGCTCAAATCCATAAAAGAAGCTGAACTGGTTCCAAGGCAGAAACCTTGGAAAGGAACTGGCTTGGGCGTTTCTAGCTTCCAGAAAAATCTTTTAAAGGCACTGTCAATTAAATCCTTCATTCGTGAGAGCACTTAATGACACTGTACGTCTGGCAATTTAATGGCATGCAAATAGTAACAGTGTCTTTGAGGTTGTGCAAGCCCAGCACACTAAACTTTATTTATTCATAAAAGGTGTCAGCCTGGTTCGGTGGATATCGCTCTTGCCTCTGAGTCAAAAGGCTGTGGGTTTAAGCCTTATGTCGGGACTTTGAGCCACGTATTCATCACATATAGTTCTTTAAGATCTCCAGGAAAACTGTCTTCCAATTTAAGGTGGAACTTGAGAAGTTTTCAAAATTCTGCACCTCTTAAATTTGATGGCAGGTAATTAATGACTGGGACAGGTTAGCGGAAAGGGTGGTTGACGTCAGCACACTTTAGAAACAGCTCGTTGCTGCAATGGGAGGACGGAAGGGTGGGTATTCTGGAAGGATAAGTTCATCTGAACCATTTTGCATGACTCCTTACATGACTGTTAAAGCATGGAATGTACTTGCTCTGAGCACAACGTTTTAAACATAAGTGCAGGTGTTGCTCTGATTTTGTATTTAGACTTTGCCGCGTTGCTATGAACTTCATGTTTGAGCGATATTCTGACTGTCTACTGATTCCCAAGCCATCTAGGTACCGATTTACACCGACCGCATCGGTAATTTTTTAGTAAATCCGCTGCGTTAGTAAACGTGGTTAGATTGGGATGGAAGTCCAGGGTGTGTTGCACACGGCCGAGGTAGAGAAGTTATTTGTAAGTGTCTTGGTGCAGGGCTGCCTTTCTGAATGTAGCGAATGTTAAAAACCTGTGGCATTAAACACCAGTAGACAATTCTCTGTGGTGCAGTTTCAATTGTGATTTCTTAGCACCGTGTAATGTCTTCCACTTTGATTCCAATTGAGGGTTGGATCAAAGTGAAAATTATTGCACGTTTAGCTTCTTGTCTAGATTTTGAACCGTTCCGTTGTCTTGTGCCTTCCTGCCCTTTGTGTGTTTGTGTGACTCTCTTGTTCAAGATTGTTGATGCCCCTTTTCTCCTTGGTCTAGGCGGGAGATAAACATTACCATCCGAGCTGTGCACGATGCAGCAAGTGCAACCAGATGTTCACAGAAGGAGAGGAAATGTACCTGCAAGGTAGGTGGTGGCCTCTTCCTGCGAGGTGGGTGGTGGGAGGATGACCAAAGGCAACGGTCAAAGAGGGAGGAAGATCTTAAGAGCAATCCATTCAGTCCTATTTACGTGCCTCTTCCCCAAACACCAGTAAATCATTCCTCTTTAGATATCTATCTATTTTCCTCTAGAAAACTAAGATGGATGCTGCTTTGATCACTGCACCACATTCTAACAACAACATCATGCTACGTACCAAGAATCATGCTGGTTTACCTTGGGCAACTCAGTAGAAATAACAGTGAAATTGAGTCGAAGTGTGGCTCAGATTCTGTAGGTAACTGTTCTGTTCTGACAGTAATATTCCTGTCCTGCTCATTCAGAACTCTGCAGCTCGTGTACTGTCCCGCACCAGGCTTCGGGACCACATCACTCCCACCCTCGCTCGCCTCCACTGGCTCCCCATCCCCCAGAGGATCGAATTCAAGATCCTCACCCTCACCTACAAGGCCATTCACGGCCTTGCTCCCTCCTACCTCTCCGACCTACTATCCCCCTACCTACCCGCCCGTACCCTCCGTTCCTCTGGCTCCGGTCTGCTCCACATCCCCCGCCCCAACCGCCCTACCATCGGTGGCCGAGCCTTCAGCCTCTCAGCCCCGAGGCTCTGGAACTCTATCCCCCAGTGCCTTCGCCGCCTCCTCCCTTTCCTCCTTCAAGGTCGGTCTCAAGACCTTTCCCTTTGACCGTGCCTTCAACTCCCCTCTCGACTCTCTACCCCCTCCTCGCTCCCTCCCTTCCCTCCCCTCACCCTGACCATTTCCCCCCTGCTCGGGTCCTGACCCAACTGTACAGCGCCATGGGACGTCCTCCCGACGTGAAAGGCGCCCAATAAATGGAATCTTGTTGTTGTTGTTGTTCTCCACTAACAGGCTCAACAGTTTGGCATCCCGACTGTAAGCAGACAAACACAGCTGAAGAAAAGCAAATGGTGAGCTTTTTATTGACAATGTACTTTGGCCTGAATGTTTTTGAATGGATTGTCCACTCACAGGTTAGCCACTTATATAGATCCAGACCAATATATTTAAGGAAAAGTTTGATGCCTACTTCAGAGAGCAGGAAATAGAGAGCTGTAGGAGTGGGGATGAGCTTGTGTGTGTATAAACACAGCACGGACTGGTTGGGCCAAATGGCTTGTTTTGGTGCCGTATCAATACTCTCACAACGCACGGTTTCTGATTCTTCTGTTGAATCGTGAACAGGGGACTAAAATATCGCTCCCACAACTCAGTTCATGCCACGCTCTCCTGAGGTGCGTGTGAACGTTGTGCTGCTCCCTTCACCCCTTGTGGGAGTCAGGTTTATTCACTATTCATTTCAGCATTCAGCGCAGTGCCTTTCTATTACATTCTTCACCACCGGTTGCAGTCTGAGACCTTGAGTTGGCCTCTGAGTGCTCAGGTGGAACCTCAACGGTTGCGTTTGAAACAAAAGTCTTGATTGTCAGCTTGCCGCCAGACTGTTACTGTATAAGATGGCTCGCTCCAGCCAAGCCCATCAACCTGAAACCAGCCCAACCTAATACACCTGCCTAGTCCCTTCGTCCAGACATTGTTGATGTGAGATTGGGCTCAGAGCCAACTGGTGTGGATTTCCTTTGGAGTGTTTGGGGTTAACTGGAAAGCCTGCAAATTCAAAGCAAATAAAGCTCAAGGATTAGCCCAACCTGCCAAGTGCAGGGATGTGGGGGGGGGGGGTGGGGGATGAGACAGGATTTTGATCTGGCACCATATTCACTCTCCAGGGAATCTGTGCGTTAAATGGTTTGCTTTACTGCCAATTCTATTTTGCTTTGAACTGCAATGCCTCTTGGGTCTAGATGACAGCGTTAAGTGATTGCAGGATATGTTTTGCTTTCATAGATGAGATTTAACCGTGCACCGGGCTATTAGACGCTTAACAAAACCTCAGGATTCAAGTCCAGGCTCTTGTTTTGGGCTCTCATAAGTGTTTAGAATAATAGACACCGGGAAAAAGGGACAGGAGCGAGGATGTGGTAACAGAGGGTGTTTATAAATCACTGATAAATCAGAGAACGCACCAATAATGATTGTGTCCTAGTTTATCATCTACAAAACCGCCGAGGTTAAATCTCAAGCCTTACATTCCTCCCTCCAAGGACGCTGTTGTTTTGTTGACCCTCGCCAAGAGGGTTGATGCGAGGATGTATTTTTCTGAACAAAGGTGCAGAGAAAGCAGAGGTATAGAGCTGGTTTATCTGAATCAACATGTCCCTGTGTAAAGGAACCAAACGTAATATAATCAGTGGTGTGGAGGGGTAACTGGTAACATGTAATAAAAATGAGCTGGAGGCATTTGAGAGAGCGTGAGTAATGTCTAATACGAAATTGCTTTGCCTACAAAAATACACAGTCATTACTTTTTACGGTAAAATCCTGTGAAGGACTTTGAAACTCCCTCCTGATGCGAAAGGTGCTGTATCAAATGCTAGGATTATTATTTGTTGTTATCATTGACGTAGGAGATGGGCATTTTCACTCTGAGGTGAATCACCAGTAATTTGACACTAAAATGTTATTAAAACCATCCATCACAGCTCAATAGTTGCCTTATTTAGGCTGTAAGCTGCCTTTTTCAGCTCCTTTCATTACTAAAATCCCTGCTATAAACTGTAACGAAACAAATCCTCTGCAGTGGATATTGCAGAAGGCGTATTATAGACAACCGTTCGAGAAGCAAGTTACATTTCTTTTCTGCCCTCCCCGTATTTCTTTTTGACACAAGAGAATTCTTCCACTGTAGGAAGGCTTGTAGTGTAAGCACCAGCCACACCACCCGCCCCCCCCCCCCCCCCACACACACACACAAGCGTAAGCTAATGCTCTGTGTTTTTTAGCTCTTTCGCCCACAAAATACACAGTCAATTCACTTTACAGTATATTCTGTGAAGCGCTTTGAGACGTCTCGAAGACGTGCAAGGATTATTATTATTAATCATGGAGCACGCTATTTACAATAATTATCCTTGCATTTGATTTAGTGCCTTATCAGTGGAGTCCTGTAGCTCAGTGGTTAGAGCACTCGCTTTGCAATCGAGAGACCTGAGTTCAATTCCAGGCAGAGGGCGAAACCTTGGGCAAGTTTCCTTACTCCACACACCTAATAATAATCCCTCCAAAACCAAAAACAATAATAAATTGGTCATTTTCAATCCACGACTGTTAGTGGGACATTGCTGTGCGCAATTGGCTGCCGCGTTCGCCCACAAATATACAGTCAATTCACTTTACAGTGTGTTCTGTGAAGCGCTTTGGGACGTCCTCCCGACGTGAAAAGCGCTGTATCAAATGCAAGGATTATTATTATTATTATTATTATCATCATATCTTCGAGACACCTCAAAGCACTTCATGGAGTACACTGTAAAATGATTTGAGTGTATATTTTTTCTGGGCGAAACTCAGCAGCCAATTGCGCACAGCAGTGTCCCACAAACAGTGATGGATTGAGTGACCAAATTATTATTTTTTTAAGGAATTATTCCCCCGGAAAAACGATCCGCCCATCGACTAACAATCGGGTTCCTACTTACTGCTAGATAAACAGAGGCGTGTGGAGTAAGGAAACTTGCCCAAGTTTTCCCTGCCCAGGAATCGAACTCCCAGGTCCTCTCGCTTGCGAGGCGAGTGCTCTAACCCCTGAGCTATAGGACTCCACGTTTGGTGCTCGACCCTTTACTCCAAGCATGTTGACTGCTTAGACAACAAGGCAGCGGCAGGTAACATCTGGATATGAATCAGCAGGGACGCAGACAGTGTAACAGCAGGCCTGTGTGACATGGAATTCAGCTGAGAGAGAAAGAAAATCCTCTGTTTGGTCTCCACCCATCATCGACATTCAACATTTATTATGTTCAGCCAGCTGTAATCCACATGAAGTATCATTTTTTGGGGAAAAAATATGGGCACACCCATTCGAAGAACATTTTTGGGACTTGTGCAATCTCTGTCTAGTACACGCACACACACACACGCAATTACTTTAATATTTAGGGCTTTTTTAATCAGCGATGCAAGATTCACGTTGGTGTCATTTGTTGTTTTTGTATTAATATCCTTCAATTTAGGATTTGTGTTATTTGTGGTTGCGACCAAGGTGAGGCAACTGATCTAACCACCGTTTGGCTTCAGCTGAATTGCTTATAAATGTTTCGCCTACTGAAAATTTATCCGATGTGTTGCTGGATTTTTTTTTTTGTTTTTTTACTTTTGCTTTTCCTTGCTTAGCCCAAGAAGCAAGCAAGGTTTGCCTCTGTCTCGCTGTCGGGCTTTAACAGAGTTTCCTTATCGCAATACATCTTGTGCTTCCAGAGAGATCAGAGAGTGACACACAATGCTAACGTGCGAAAACATAGTGCACAGTACGAAAGATAAGACGTTTAGTTCTCTTGCTTTCTTTTGTGCGGATCACCAACACTTGCATAATGTATTGGTTCTGTTCGCCTCACTGTGCGGCTTTCTCCACTAATCAATCGCCACTCTTTCGAGGTAATTTCACTGGATGTCCCGCAGGTTTGTGTTTACTGAATAATTCAGCGGAGAAAGAGCTGGAGGGAAAAAAAACACAAACAGTGCATCACTAACTCTGTGTGGCTTTGCTGCGGTTTGCTTTCAGTTCAATGGGTCAGTTTGCACCATTGCAAATCCCCTTTGCTGGAACGCACGTGTTAATGTTGCGGGCAGTGTTATGCAGACCATTGAAACATAATCCCGTTCATTGACTGTAGAAGTGTCAGGAGTCGCTCATTGTTCGCCGGTCCATGTCAGAACTTCGCCGCTCAGAGCTTCCAGAAGCTGAGAGCCGGTTGGAGATGACCGGAGTCGCAATCCGTAATGAAATGAATTCTGGAATCTTTTCCGCTTGCACAAGGGATTTTAGATCATGGCCACCACTGATTTGGCACATTGGCCATCTCTGCTCAGGTCAGGCACACACCTAGAGTTGATGTGAATTATGTGAATGTGAGTCTGGATCTTGCATTTTCATTCACATTTTACGAATAAACTAAACCTGACAGTCCTGTCGTGGAGTCCTGTAGCCTACTTTAGCGGTTAGAGCACTCCCCTCGCAAGCGAGAGGACCTTGGTTCAATTTCCGGCAGGGCGAAACGTTGGGCAAGTTTCTTACTCCACACCCAGCAGTAAGTAGGAACACGGTTGTTACTCGACTGGCGGATCACTTTTCCGGGGGTAATAATTCTTTCAAAATTAATAAAAAATAATTTGGTCACTTCAATCCACGGCTGTTTGTGGGACGCTGCTGTGCGCAATTGGCTGCCGCGTTTTGCCCACAAAATATACAGTCAATTCACTTTACAGTATATTCTGCGAAGCGCTTTGAAACATCTCAAGACGTGATAAGGCGCCATATCAAAGGCAAGGATTATTATTATTATTATGATCCTATCTTTCTTCTCTGGTGCATTTTACTGCATTTCAGTGAAGCCTGTGCAAATCAGTGGACAATTACAGGGGTGGATTAAAATGACAGCCTATAATAATAGGAAGCAGAGTAAATTATAATGCAGTCCAACTTGTCTGCCAGCAAAGAGTAGTGATTATGGGGACACACCTATGTATTTAGTAAGAATCTTGCTTGGAGCCAAGACATTGACTGTAGATAAACTGCACCACGGTTTAATTTGTCTCATTTGTGCCAGTTGTTTGCAATGAAGTGAGTAAATGCTGTACATAGCCGTACATGCTAGCTTCCTTCTGGTGCTTGACGCTTAATGTGTGGGGCAAGATCAATGCAGTGTAATTTACGTCAATGAGTGTCAGCAGGTGACTGATGTGGCCAAATCCTCACCCTGTGTCTACATTACACACTTTCCACGAGATTGATTGAATAAGTGATCAGGAGAGGAAACCCAAGTTGAATTATTTTCCTCCTTCCTGGATCCAGGCTTTTCCTTTCAATTCAAATGGTTAGATTCCTTGGACAATCTGCATTGGGTTTACCTTGAATTTATTATATGGTCAAATTATGGCATAACCTTGAGGCTCGAAGAGGTTATTCTGTACGAAACAACATTTAACGCGTAAGTATTTTACAGACTGGTATGAAATATGTTACAATATGGCAGGCTTTCTTCTGAAGACGTCAGGGATTTGCAAATGATGAATGCCTCTGTCGTCCTTCAGAACTGTAATGACTACAGGAGGCTGAAAAATTAAGCTGGTAACCTGGATTTATGGTTGAACCCTTGGTGACAAATGCCTCTTGGTGACAAATTTATTAGGAAACCAACATAGTCAAGCCACCTATATTGAACACACTCTATTAAATACACTATCTGTGACTTGCTTATTAATTTTTCTAGCTGCAAGCCCTGAAGAATATATTCTGTGAAGCGCTTTCAGGAGTCTCAAAGACGTGATAAGCTGCTATATCAAATGCAAGGATTATTATTATTATTATTAAGAATGGAACTGTCTCTTTATCACAGGTTGTGTCACCGTGTTGGGTAACATTGTTGAGTAATAGAGTATAATTTTTTGCCTACCACTAGAGTTGAGCCGGAAGGTTGAGGGAGTGGTATGATCGAGGTGTTTAAAATAATGAAAGAGTTCGAGAGAGTTCATCGTGAAAGGCTTTTCTGTTGGAAACGGACTGGGGGGTGGGGGGCGGGGGAGGCACAAGGATATGAATTCAATATTGTGACTGGGGTGAGGGCAAATAGGAGAGATTTGGAAAATGTCTCTCAAAAGGGTGGTCAGGATATGCGATGTCTGTTAGAATTGCATTTAAAAAGAATTAGATGAATACATGCAGAGGAAGGGTACTTGAGGAAATGAGGAAAGAAAAGGGGATTGAGATGAAGTTTAAGATTAAGGTGTTTTTTTTTCCTTCTTCCTTTTTCCAATTGAATCGACTTTTCGTTACAGCCAATAAGATCTTCTTCTGAAAGTATCTCGTCCAGACCTGGTTCGAGTGTACCCGGCTCACCTGGGCACATGATTTACGTGAGTGCAGCAACTTTTGTTTTCTCAGTTTCTTTGGTAATTTATTTCCCAACTGACGATGCGTATCTCCGACACGCTTCATGGCGTTTGCGCTCGACAATGTTCCGTAAAAATGAACTTTCTTCCTGCCGTCTTAATCTCTTAAACATAATAAGACGATATAAGGTAATGTGGAGTCGTGTAGCTCAGTGGTTAGAGTGCACGCCTCGCAAGCGAGAGGACTTGGGTTTGATTCCCAGCCAGGGCGAAATGTTGGGCAAGTTTCCTTACTCCACACACACGCCTCTGTTTACCGAGCAGTAAGTAGGAAACTGGTTGTTCATCGTTAGGCGGATCGCTTTTCCGGGTGTAATAATCCCTTAATAAAAAAATTGGGTCACTCAATCCACGACTGTTTGTGAGACGCTGCTGTGCGCAATTGGCTGCCGCGTTTCACCCACAAAATAGTCAGTTCACTTTACAGTATATCCTGTGAAGGGCTTTGAGACGTCTTGAAGACATGATAAGGCGCTGCATCAAATGCAAGGATTATTATTATATCATTATAACACCACCTGCCCATAACGTACCAGGTGTCTTTCTGCGGGTTGAACTGTGATACACTTTTATTTAACGATTGAAAGGCAAAAAACAGTCGAGCAGATTGTAAAATACACAGCAAATATACTTTACAGATTAGATAATTCGTCATTCTCGCCATCCACTGCACAGGACGCCTGAAGCAAAAATCTCATTTCATCTCCTTGGCCTTTGATGTTGGTTCTTTGATCTTGTGGCTATTGCTTTTGGCTGCTAAGATCATATTCCCGATTCTATGTATTTCTACACATTTCGTCCCTCGAAGCTCTGAGCCGTTCTTAGCCGAAGACTAAGAACGGTTGAAAATGGGATGAAATTAGCGCACAAAAAAAAAGCTTTTAAGTTAAAACAAGATTTGTTTGCTGGTACTTATTAGGGTAAAGCAACAAAAGACAACAACAACAACGGCATTTATATAGCGCCCTTCACGTGGGTTAGCGTCCCAGAGCCCTAAATGGCTGAATGCCTAAAAAGGCCATTCTGACAAAATGGCAGAAACCGTTTGTTATTGCTTCTTGAACTGTTACTGTAAATCGCTCCCTAACTGGAGTTTGAGCAAAGGGACTGCCTTTAAGCGCTGCTTGGGGGGAACTTATTTATTCCTGTCTTTGCTCCTTCCAGGCAAAAGTGGATAATGAAATCCTTGATTACAAGGACTTGGCTGCCATCCCCAAAGTTAAGGCTATTTATGACATAGAGCGCCCTGACCTGATCACCTATGAGCCGTATTTTGGAGGCAACTTCGATGATCGTCAGGATCGCCCCAGCGTTGGAGAGGTAAAGTATCGGGGACACCTTCTCACCCAAATCAGTGCTGGTACATGTGCTCCATTGAAAGTTACAAAGAGAAAAAAAAATCGCAATTTATTACTTTACAGATTAGATAATTTGTCATTCTCGTCGTTATGTCTCAGACATCCACTAAGTAGTAACGTGTATTTGTGTGTGTGTGTGTGGGTACATGTGAGTATGTGTACACATGTGTGTTTATGTGTGTGTGTGTACGTTCCATGAATCTCCAAATTTTTAGATCACTGATGATATATACTGTCAGTCAGAGGAACGAACAGTAATCTGTGTGTATGTGGGGGCGGTGGGGGGGAGTGGGCGGTGGTGGGGGAACACATGTAGTTATGTTTTGCTTTAGAAACCGTGAGATGAAGTAATAAAAAGGGGGTACCACCGTCTATGCTGGATGTTAAAAGCTGATTCTCTGTTGACAGTCTCAGTACGCAAGAAGTGACAATGGCTCGATTGTTCAAAGTGAAATAGTAAGTTGGTGACAAGTGTCCGTTCTTTGCACACAAACATTCGTGCAATAAACAATTACAACTCTCCAGTCGTTGGGCTTCATTGGCACGGTCAGTAGAAACCTGCGGAAAATAGGGCCAAAAACTTTGACCTAAATTGCAGTCATTCTGAAATTCACTCCTCCCACACGGTAGGGCGTGTAATTCCTTCCCCTTCATTGATTCACCATCACAAGAATGAATTCATATCGAGGATGCTTTATATTCATATTTATTCCTGCGAAGTACGCAACTGTACATTGCTGTAAAATTTCCACATCATTTATATACAGCCAAACCGCCCTGGTCAACCTTTGCACATCTGTGAATGGGTGTGGATGGAGATGTGCGACAGGCTTTCCTTCACTCACAGCAAGCGGATACAGTGCATACAGCGATAGAAGTTCTGAGGTCACTCCAGTTCTCTGCTTGATACCTGCAAGCCACTACTGTTTCGCCCACAAAATACGGTCAACTTACTTTACGGCGTGTTCTGCGAAGCGCCTTGAGACGTCTGGAAGACGCGATAAGGCGCGAGATCAAATGCCAAAGATTATTCTTATTATATGGGAAATTTCAGATCTGGTGGGAGTCCTGTCAAAAGCCCTATGAAGTATTTTTTCTAATGACCCTGCTAATAAGGTCACCACCTTATTTCAAAGGCCCGAAACAATTTAATTCTAACTCTAGCTGTTGTGTGTCTACCCTCTTCCCCCAAACACACACACATGAAACAAGACACTGTTGCCGCCTTTCCTATTTTCAAATGAGTCAAGTATTTTTTTAAGTGTTTCTGTTGTTACCTATGGTGGGATGGGGTGTGGGTTCAGTCCTCTGAATAGAGAAACAGAGGGGGGAAGGGTCGCTCGATAGCTTTCAGGAGCAGAAACCCTGGTTAATTCTCTCATCCCTAGTCTCTTGGTTGAGATCAACCTCACTCACACTATGCATCAAACAATATTTATGGTTCTCCGAGAGATAGATGTACGTGGGCAGATACCAAGACTCCCAGATTTCAGTGCTTGTTACCTGGGTGCTCTGGTGTGATGCTGTTTTGTCCTCTCTTGTACCTCTTTGAGACTGAGTGAGTAACTACACTCCTTTATGTCATTCCTGTTTTTCCTCCATTTAACTGTTCTCAAAGATGGCCTCAGCCTTGCCACATCCAGTGAGCAAGAGTTTTCCAATAAACCACGCCCACTGTTCTGTCAGGTTAACCTTCCCCGAGCCTCAGTTTCACAACAACAACAAGAACAAAATTACATTTGATCAATTTGGATGAGATAGGCCCTTCTACCCACCCGATCTCGTCCCTCCAGAACGCTCACCTCACCGTCCGCCCATCAAAGCATCAATGGCCTTTTAAACTGCTACCTACTCCCATTACAAGAATCCAGCTCAGTGTTCCCCGTTTCCCTTCAGGACTCACTATTCCTGATAGCCTGTTCTAAATGTGTGACTATTTTAGGGATTAGATGTCTCCTCCGTAACTCAAAGTCTAGTGTTTTGTCTAGTGTTTAGTTCAGAGAACAAACACTTCAAACAGCAACGCTGAAGGTGGGGGACCGGCAAGGAGTCACAGTCGGGATTAAACCTGTATCGACACGCTGCCGAGATAGAGCTTAACCCTTGAGGACTGAAGGGCTTTTCACAGTATAAGAAACAAACCTAAGTTTGTTCCTGTCCCTTCCAGATAATAAACGTTGAACAGGAAAGAAAGTTATGCTGTCGCTCTCGGGAGAGCAGTTCACAGTCACTCTCACCACCTCTTGACCACAAAAATTGGTGGATGCCAGAGCTGGACATGGACAAACCATTTATCAAGAGGGATGTGCTGCCACCTAGTGGACGCACAATACAATACAAAATTACATTTGTGTAGCGCCTTTCACGTCGGGAGGACGTCCCAAGGCTCTGGACGGTCAGGGATTTGATCCCATGCTGGGATCAGGAAAGGTGGAGGGTAGGAGAGTGAGTATTGAGAGAGTAGAAGAAGAGGGTCGTGAGACGTGTCTCGAAGGAGTCAAGGGAGGGAGCGGAGGGACATTTAGCTGATGCTGGACCTAGAATTTATCCCACAAATCTTTTTAAGTCCCTTTGTTGTGCTGGCTGCAACTTTGACTTGAGGAAAGAGGTATAATGGAAGTGTTGCTTAATAAAACATCAGAATTAAATTCCATACTTATTGGCTATTAGGTAAGCATTGTCCATTGTCGAAACACTTCTGCACACACAGAACATTTATTTTTATCATCTACGTTAAATATCTGTATTTGTGTGTGTGTATATATATACAGCATCCATATTTTATATATATGAATATTATAAGGCAAGGCCCTTTATTATTGATGCTAATTTGTGCCTTATTATTCTAGAAATCTTCATTTTATTAGTTGTAACATTACATTTTTGTGGTGGCACATTTGTGTTGTGTTTCTGAGTTGCGCTTCATAAACACCATGTTTGTGTGTGTCTCTGAGTGACACTAACCAGAAACAGTCGTACAGTAACGTCTTGCAAGGACACAACTAATTTCTGTCACGTCTCACAAATGGTTTTACAAGTACTTTTCTTTTCTAATATCTCACAGTCTCCAAGGACACTTTCCCCCACACCTTCAGCTGAGGTCAGTAAATCCCTTTGCGTTCAGCTCACATCTTTACTCTTGTTGTTGCGTAAGCTGGATCAGTCTTCGGTAGATCAGACAAGCTGTGAACTCTGATCAGACAAGTTCATGTTGGATGTCGCTGAAGAAAACTCCACTGCATTATGACTAACGCCTTTCCTGCTGTTCAATTTTCTAATATTGATTCCCTGGTTAAAAAAAAACACTGTCAAAATGTCTCAACTGGATTAATTACTAATGGAGCTGTGCTTTAATCTAATGCCTGTAGCAAAAGTGAAATGCTGTAACATTGGTTACAAAATCATTGTTGACTTGGGGCTCTATGTGATCACAGTGATATCACTGGATTTGTACAGACATTTTTTTTGGCCATGTCAAATAAGAGAAATGTAATAGAAAACAACTAGGAATTAAGCTGTTGCTGACATTGCTACTAACTCACTGCCTTGGATATGGCTCTCTTTCTGACCAGGAATGAACCACTGCCTAATGTGGGACAGTGGGGAGATGGTGGGGGTAGTGGGGGAGAGAGTATGAGCAGTTATCGTCCACCTGATGGTAATGCCTGTGCTCCAAGGAGAACAATCCCAGCTTCTCTAGTCTCTGCACATAACCTAAGTCCCTCATCCCTGGTACCATCCTGGTAAATCTCTTCCGCACCCTCTCCAAAGCCCTGACATCCTTCCTAAAGTGTGGTGCCCAGAATTGGACACAATACTCCTCCTGAGGCCTATGCGCTGATTTTTAAAGGTTTAGCATAACCTCCTCGCTTTTGTACTTTAGGCCTTTCTTATTCATAAAGCCAAGGATCCCCGATGCTTCTTTTTAAACCGGCTCCATCAACTTGTCCTGCAAGTTCAAAGATTTATGTGAACCCCCAGGTCTCTCTGTTTCTCCCCCCCCCCCCATTGAACTTCACTCTATCCAGTTTCAGAAAACCGAGGGCATTGTTAACCATGACGCCAACATGGTCAGACGATGAACTCTGCCTTATTGTTTGTGCTTCACTTCCGCTATCTCATGTCCACCCACCCCATGATTGTCAGCCACCTTGTCTTGTCACACTGCTCTTGGGTCTCAAACACGGTTAAAGAGTAAATAATGATTGAACCACCTCCAGAATGTAACCCCTGTCAGTTGGATGTTAGGAACCTCTCTACGCAGACTTTATTTGAATGAAGAAGTGGTGACGTTGATTCAAACAGGAACTGTTTTGTTTAACTCAACGCATGTCACTTGACTGAGCATCGGTTGTTGTTACTCGTGCAAGATCTTTTTTTTGAACACACGTTATTGTTGTTTAAGAAGAACAGTGCTTTCAAAGAAATGTTTGGGGGAGAAATGCCACCTGGATTTAGATTCATTCTGTTTATGCAGTACTTGAGAGTGTCCAGAAATTGGCAAAATTCTTAAATACAACCTTAACGTCAAAGCTATTTTTGTGTAAGTTCTTTTGATAATTATAGAACGCTGACATCAAGAAATGAGACTGAATCCAACAGTTTGCCAAATTCTGGATGCTCTGAAATGTTATATAAATAGTGCTAATCTTGGCCCGGTTAAAAGTTAATATGTTATAATAATGCAAAACTGATATTACAATATATAATCTCGAGCATGGAATCATAGAATGTTGTATAACAGACACCTTTCTGGCCATTACGTTTTCTTTCTTTTAGTTCTGTAAATGACTCGCTCCTAATATCTTTTGATACCGTTTTACAAGCAACTACTTCAATTCTCTTTCAAAAGAGTTTGCAAACTCTGGGTACAATACAAAATTACATTTGTGTGGGTACATGAAGGATAGAAGCTTGAATGGTTGCGGGGATAAGGCAGGGCAGTGGGATTGAATGAACACCTTGCTCTGAGAGCCAGTGTGGATCTAATCCCTCTGCGCTGTAAAGTTATAGAAAGTTTTCTTGAAAAGCAATCATTCCTAATAGGAGTCGCACAGAGTGGCTGAATTGGAAATGCCTCTTTTATTTTTATAATCTTATTGACGTATGATGTGCTGCCTTTCCCCAAACACACACACACAAACTGCCTGCCTGCCTTCCTTTCTCTCCGTTCCCCAATGGCCTGTACTATCTGGGTCACCTATTCCCAGCTGGTCAGGGTTCTCTTGTTAAAGTGGGAAGGCAGTAGGCCGTTTTGTGGGTAAACCTTTTTGAATCTCACCATCAGCTTTCATTCAGTAACACCTCAGTCCGTGTAGTCCCGTGCCTTTTTATCGAGCGTTCAGTTTTCACCGTAACAATTCTGTTCAAAAAACGTGAATAAGCTTCAATAATAAATAAGTAAAATAGTAAATAAATACAGCAATAAATGAAATCTGTTTTGAAGACGGTCGATTCAAGCGCTCTGGGCCGCTACCCCGAGCGAAGGGCGCTTATATCACTGCAAGTTGCTGTTGTTGCCGATTGTAAGTCGAACCACACTGCTGGGATCTGAGTGTATTTTGTGTTTGTTTTAGGGCTATCAAGATGCCCGCGATCGAATGGTGCACAGATCTTCCAGTCAGGGCTCCATAAGCTCCCCTGTCTACAATCGCCACTGTTACACACCCACTGTAGCCCGATCTCCACAGCACTTCCACAGACCTGGTAAGTCAAACAGCTCGACGATCTGATGTGGTGCAGCTATATCTACTTGGCAGAAATATGTTTCTAAAATTCTGCTTTAAGAGCCAGGCAGTTACCTGACAGGGAACCCTATGAAATATACTTTAAAGATTGCTTTCTGTCCCCCCATTCCCTCCTCCCCAGTTATTTTGACCAGGCAGGTGTAATGTCAGTTTGTCACTGTGCTGGATACTGCACCTCTCAGTGCTGAATGACAAAAAAGAGCATTTCAAATGGAGCAAACCTTTCTGCTGTAGTGACCGTGCTTTGGGGCTTTCCTGGCATTTCACGCTTGAGTAAGGCCCATTATTCCAGAGTCTGGTAAAGTCACGCTTTGCGCACTGGTATCTCGCTGGGCTGCCCTGCCCATGTGGTTAGTAAAATGGCCAGGAATGGTTATTTCTGGGAAGCTGCGTTGAGGTTGAGCGACAAACTAATTGATTGCAGAGGGAATCACATTGAAAACCAGAGTAAGGGAACCATCTATTGTTGCCCCGCAATGTCTGTCTCCTGCTGTAGAGCTGCTGTGCAGTGGTGTGCAGTCTGCTCAGCTCTGTACCTGCAGATTTGCGGCCGGGTTCAACCCCATCCCAATTCAACTTCACCGCCATGTCAAAGATTAGAGCTGCACCTTGCTAGCAAGCACCCATGACCTTAGTGCATATGAAAGGCTGTTCAAGAGATTACGTGACACCTGGCTGTTTGTCTCTAAAACTGGCTAATATTTAATCATTGAAAGCCACCTTTCCTGACCCAATTGACAAGGTGCTACAAATACCTGGTCAACTGAGTCCTTCCTCGGGAGAGCTTGTTTTAAAGTGGGTTTCTAAATTCATGCACATTTATGCTCCTTTCCTGCACTCTTAAGAACGACTAAATCCTGGCTCCAGTGGCAGTCTTCCGATCTCTGACTTCTTTAAACTGACGAAAGAGTTTGATAGCTGTCAAGATGTAATATATGCAGCTAAAGCTAAGGACCTCAACATGATCGTAACTGCAGATCTTGTACTCTGCCTCTCTATTGAACAGAAAGGAATATATACCTCATCGGGTTTGTTCGAAACAGTACCCATTGGAATTCTAAACCTGTTGTCCTCTGGTTCTGTTGCCTCGATGGACATGCGCTAGTGCACCCAAGGGTCAGTCAGTGTCTCTGGTTGACATAAACAAGGCGACAATTTTTAATATGCAATTGGGCAGGAGGCGATGGGAGGAAAGAAAGGGTAGAGTTTGTTTTCACAAGAGGAACGTAACAGAGAAAACTGATGCAGAAAAAGTGTTGGAAAACTCAAAATTATATATATATAGATAATATAAAAGATCATTTGCTGCGTGTACTGCATTCTGGAGTTCACACCCAACAGTGTGTGTTCTCCAACTGGAATGCACTCTCTTCATCTCCTGCACTAGGCTTCCAGCGCCAAACCGTTTTGCATTCTATCCTGTTCACCTTTCTGTTTCTCACCATCTGTTACAGCTGCTTCGTTCTACATAGGTATGTGAGTGCCCAGGGTTTCGTTTACAGCCTGCGAATACTTGAGAACTGCCTGATTGCTTCTGTTTGCCGTGTGTGTGTTGGGGGGGGGTGCTGGGAGGGTCTCTTTCTTGCCTGGGGATAAATTTTGAAAAGCTTGTAATTGGAAAGAGTTTGTGCTTGAACCCTTAAAGCAATGAGGGAAAGAACAGGGAGCTTTGAGAGAAAAAGAACCCAAACAAGTCTCTCCCCTCTACCACCCACCCCGTTCTAATCACACATCAGTCGGCCTGATGGCTTTCCTGGGCTTTTCTTGAACAAGGGATGGTGAGCGTTGTTGGGTTGGGATTCAGATGGAAAGTGAACAGCACGGCAGCAAGTGCTTTAAGATTCAGCTGGATTTAGAGTCAGAGACCTTACCAGGCTTCAGAGCCAGATCGCTGTGCTTGGGCATGAAAATAATAATAATAATAATCCTTGCATTCGATATAACGCCTTATCACGTCTTCGAGATGTCTCAAAGCGCTTCACAGAATATACTGTAAAGCGAATTGAGTGTATATTTTGTGAGAAGAACGCGGCAGCCAATTGCGCACAGAAGTGTCCCACAAACAGCCGTGAAATAAGTGACCAAATTATGATTATTATTATTATTATGATGATGCTTGATATCAGGCGCTTGTTCAGTTGGAAAATATTGTTGGCCGTAACTGCACCCCTTAACCGGTAACTCACTCACCCGTTCCCTTTTGCTGCTCCCGTATCGGAAGCACCTCTGCGAGCGAGCCCCACCGGGTTGGCCTAGGGCCCCATTGCCTTAGCAATACTACGGGAAACACCACAAAACCGAACCTCTGGTGACGTCTTTGGCCGACTGATCTTCGGGTCTGGAACGCTAAATGGTATTTTCAGAACATTTGTACTGCAGAATGCTGACGCCAATCAAGGGTAAAAGTCCACACTGTAAAATCCAATGGACCAGCCCCGTTACTATTAAGAACGTAAGAATTGCTAGACCAAAAAAGACCAAGGTCCATCTAGTTTGCCTTCCACCATCCTGGCAGTCCAAACTATATACTGTGCCCCAAGATATTTCCTAAAATAAATGCTCTAATTTGCTATTGTTAAATCTTCTGCAAAACCACGATATTCATATATCTGCATGGATTTATCACCCTCAAAAATTGCAAAAGTAAGGATTCTTGTCCTAGATTTCATCATTTTCCCACACGTGTTGTGTTGGAATATTAGATTCCTTCCACTTTGACAGAAAAAACCAAATTAATTATCATCTTCAAGAGAAGCTCTTTCAAAAAATTGCATTAGGATTATGTGCCTTGAAAGTTCATTGTCGTCTATAATTGCCAGATTAGGTAGAAATCACTTTCTTTCCAAATGAAGGAGTTCATCAAGTTTTCCCCGCATTAAATGTCACCTAAAGTTTGGTAAAGTTTTAATCTGTTTAGCAAAAGAGCGAGTCCCTTAATCCTTTGACAGTCCCTTAGCCCTTTAAAATTCAATGGTGAATCACTGTATTAATAAGTTGCTTAAAGGTGATGTATTATAGTATTATAGAACGACTCCACAAAGGAGTAATGAAAGTAGCATCGTTGCGAGAGATTTCTGTTCGGAGGGATAATAAAGTGGCATGTACACTTGTTTTTTTCAGCCTGAGTTTTTTAGTTCACGACTAAGCTAGAGTTTGCTTTTTTTTCCAACTAATACAATTTTGCCGTTGAAAGCACGAGTGGAGTTTGATGGTTAAATTGACACGTTATTGCTGCGCAGTCACCGTCACCCCGCTGCAAAGTAACCTGTGGATTTGCTCCAGTTATTTCATGACTTGTTTGTTTCGATTTTGTTGTGTAACACTTGGATTTTATTTAATTTCTTCCCCCTTTCTCATATCCTTCACTCTTCTACATTGGAGGCAATGAGCCATCCAGCGGGCGAAACTCCCCTCTCCCCTTGCGGTCAGACAACAGGCCTCTAACCCCAACTTATGCTCAGAACCCTAAACATTTCCATCTTCCAGGTAGGAGTTGAACAATGTCCATGTCAGTGTCTCAGCCTGGGCTGTAGCCGTGTCTCTCTATCTGTCCTGTCTCCATCTCTTTGCACTGTTTTAAGGGATGCAGATTCTCACCACAAACCTACAAGAGGGATTTGGGGAAGCCCATACAAAGCCTGGGAAGCAAGTTTGCATTTATGGTGCGGGGGGCATATCAACACTTTAAGCTGTCTCTACTCCAATACAAATACACGCTTAGACTGCACGTGGATCAATGCAGAGCAATCCTTAGCATTAACGCACGTATATCCTTTAACAGGTGTCACAGAGCATCTTTTCAGTGGCTGACGATACCTTTTATGAGTAGCGCACTTCCTGTGTGCGTTGGAAGTGAGTCAGCTGTAAAGCGAAGGCCAGACGATCCTGTGCAGATACATTAGGACGTATCTAAGCACATGTATGATTCGCAGCTTTAGACAGACCATTTGGTTTGAGCAGAAAGATGGGAACAAAGCCACTGTTAAGCACTGTGAGACCTAACCTGCGGGGAGGGCGTTATATAAGTACAAGTTGTTGTTGTTGTTGATGGCTGGGTCTTTTACTGGGACTGTACATTTAAAATAAAAAAGGCTGCAATGGTCAATGCTACTCCTTCTAATCAGTCAAATAAATGGGTTAGAAACCGTCAACCATATTCACAGTAAGACATTTAATAGAGCTGTGCAATTCAAACCGTATAACCTCGCCCGGCTTCCTATACAGTGAACAAAGACTGTATGATGATTGAATTAATCTAAACGGCTGTATGTGTCCGAGAGAGAATTCTCTTGGAGAATTGATAGATCCCATTTTAGTTTTTATCGACAGAAAATCATTCAAGAGAAAATCGCTCAATATCAATTGGACTTGCAGGTAGAATCATAGTGATGGATACGCCAGAGAGTGCTTTTGCTCAGTTAAACACAGGACATTAACAACAACTTGCATTTATATAGCGCCCTTCACGCTGGGTTGCGTTCCTGAGCGCTTGGTGGAGTCTGACCCCGAGACAGGGGGGGGAGAAGGAGGGAGGAGGTGACCGTAAGCATGATCTAAAAGGAAGGTCTTCAGGCTGGATTTGAAAGTGGGGAGGGAGGAAGAGAGGGAGGGGGCAAGGCAGAGGGATTGAGGGAGAGGGTTCCAGAGTTTCGGGGCGCAGTGACTGAAAGCGCGGCCACCGATGGTGGAGCAGAGGAGACGAGAGTCGAACAGGAGGCAGCAGTCAGGAGAGCAATTGTCAGGTCTTTGGGTAGCTTGTAAGTGCCATGGGCTTGAATCTGCATCCCTGTAAAATGAACTCTTATAACCAAACAATCTTGACATCCGCAAGGAACGGTCTGCTGTCAATCTCAGGGAAGTCGATCATTGCCCCTGACATCTTTGGCAGGATGTATTTGGATCCCGTCCTCCCGCCAAAAAAATCCTTTGACGTTTCCCACGCGAGGACCACGTGTTAATCTGACGAAATCACATCGAAGCGTGACGATATGGAAATGTGCGCGGGCTGCCGAGAGCAGCTCTTTCCGATGCGATGTCTACGCAGTTATTTCCGCAATGAAACGTGCCCCAATTTTGGAGGTGGGGGTGGGGGAGGGGAAGAAAAAAAACTACCCGAGGGTCAAATGAATGGATTCTCTCATTAATTGATTTACCTGAGGCACGCTGAACACTCTTGCGTTACATGTTTCGGATCTCTCCCGGCATTTCGCTTGTTTTCTCCTGTCGCCTGTTTTATGTATGCCACACTGAAGCTACTATGCCCCACAAATATACTAAGTTGTTACGCCGTTGAAGCCCACTGCTCAGGATCACGAATCGGGGGAATCGTTACACTCCTGTGGCCTGGATAGCTCGACGTCCCGAGTCGGGAATTTCTCTCGCTCCCGGGAGAGAGCAAAGAAATTGAAACCGCAGTGTTTCGAACTGCTGGGCCTTGATCCGGTCAGGAATCTCATGCGTACAAACAAGGTGGTCATGATTGATAAGGCTGGTCAATTTCGAGCAGGAATGTCAGCAAAACTCCACCAAGCAAACCAGGCCCTGCCAGGTGCAATGCACAGTGACGTCTGTAATCCACCTGATGCCATTACTAAAGCTGGACATTGGTGTGTGTAACCTGGTTGATGCTGTACTGACCCAACCCTGCAGTCCTGCAGCTCAGTGGTTACAGAACTCGCCTCGCAAGCGAGAGGACCTGGGTTTGACTCCTGGGCAGGGTGAAACGTTGGGCAAGTTTTCTTACTCCACACGCACACCTCTGTTTACCGAGCGGTGAGTTGCTGGTCGATTGGCAGATTGTTTTCTGGGGGTAATAATCCCTTTTAAAAAAAATATTATTTGCTCACTCAGTCCACAACTGTTTGTGGGACGCTGCTGTGCACAATTGGCTGCCGCGATTCACCCGTGCAAATCAATTCACTGTGAAGCGCTTTGAGACGTCTCGAAGACATGATAAGGCGCTGTATCAAACGAAAGGAATTAGTATTATTATTAACCCAAGGTATTTGTTACTTGCTTGGTTCTGTGCTGACCTCACCATCACTGGCACTTCACTGTGCCTATCAGAGCCACCAAAATATTTCATGGTCTCAGTCTTAAAAACTATAGGATCTTTCAGAACCTTGGAAATTCTAAAATTCAGTCTTGATTCAGTAGCTGTGGTTTCTCCAGGTCACTGAGGGAAGACTCAATTGAAGAATTTTCCAATTTCTTTTTGAAAAAATTTGCACGGTTTCCTTTTTGTACACAGCTAAGCCCGTGAGAGATTTAGAGCCTCTGATGTATTGCCATTCCGTGCAGTCGATCTAACTGGATATGTTCAGGATCGCTAATCACACACCTTTCACGGGGCTGACCAGCAACCTCGCACTTAATTCAGGCAAATCCACGGCCAGAAACTGCTGGTGCCAAGCAGTGGTTAGTTAGTCATTGCCGTTTGCCATCAAACTTTGGATTGTCTCGATCTCCACCGGCCAAATGGAGATAACCAGCCCCATTGACATCAGACAACGCATTGGCCTCAATAAAGTGTTACATTGGGAACTTTAGAAAACCTCAATTTTGTGTGGCATTCGGAGCTTCATGTTAAACCGAAGATGGACATTTTCCAGAACCGACTTGTCCTGAGTCTCCATGGCTTGCAGTAACTGCGGTCCGCGCACTGTCTGTCTGGACAAGTTGTGCTTTTGCTGTATTGTCGCTGAAGCTGATTGTCAGTACCACATGTCGCACACTTACTCCTTCGTCGAAGTCCGCCTTGATCTGTCTTACGTCCTGTCTAGAGAATTGTACCTTCTAGCTTTGCTTGGACTTGTAACAGAAAAGATTAATTTCCCAACTTTCTTTTTTTGATTACTAATAAACTCTTTAACTTGTTTCCACAGACCAAGGGATTAATATATACAGGAAACCTCCTATCTACAAGCAATATGGTATAGTTCACTTTTTTGATGTTTTTGTGTCGTTTTCCTTAAGAGCTATCACTTGATCCGTTATTTACAGCAACATATAAACTTACTGAACTTTTGGTTAATTGGTAAAGAGTTAAAGCAAGTTCCTTGTTATATTGGCTGCTCAATGAGATGGTTATGAAACTGGCTTGTTTCACGCTCATGTACATTAATTCATGAGGTTAGGTCCCACAAAATTAAAACCTACTACTGTTAGCGTGAAGGCCTTCAGAGTTAGATGAAGAGCAATGCTGAGGTCACCCTTGTTCTATGGCTGCTCAGCATCTCTCTCTGGCCTGGTCATTGGGGGTGAAATTGGTCTGGAATCAATCTATAATCAAAGCTATCTATTTTATATTAGAATTGGGATATTTGCTTGCTTGTTCACACCCGTTTACCCTGCCATCACATGACTTTATTAATTGTGACCACGGCTCCTCCTGACCTTTCCATCGATATGTCCTGCCTTATTGACGTCACTCACACTAATAAGTTGGTACTGTTTGAAGTCATGCCAACTCCTCTTCTTAAACCTAAGCTCAAGTCAATAAACCCTTCCCTGATTCCGCAGTTTGACCAAGTATGGCATCGGATTAACATGACTGAAAACTTACTTTAAACTGTAAATTCTTTAAAAAATGTATTAAATCCTAAGTTACAAACTAAAAGAAGGGGGAAAGAAAACTTGACTTGTTTCCATGACAATCTGTGTTCTATTTGGAACCGAAAGAAAAAAGCTTAACGGGAGCTGAGGAGGAAAAGTCCCTGCCCCCAGTGATTGGTCTGCCCTGTGAGGTCCTGTTGACAAGCCAAACCTGGCTGTGCTATCATCAGAAGTGCCTTGGAGTATGGCAAACTCCTCCTGGCTCAGGAACTCGCCTACCGAGAACACCACTTGATTCCGACATTGTATTGCCCAACATATTACCTTTAAAGCCAGTTCAGCTTCAACAAGTCTCCAATTAGCTCCCACCCAAGGAGGATATTCGATCGAGAAATATCTCATCAATGATTGTGACAGGTTCAGTGTAGAAAGAGGGGGTTGAGTGAATGCCAACGCAAGGCTGGTAGGAAGGATCCACCTCTGTAGGAGCCAGTAATTGAGTGTTGAGTTCCCACTGATTGCCACTCTAGATGCAGCTGCAATGGCAGCACAGCTCAAGCGAGGCGAGGAAATCATCAAGTCATCCAAGTTTCCAGCAGCCCACGCTCCAGAACCCGACCTAATCCCTGAGGTGGAGACTGACTGCTTGCCAGGTGCGGGTAACGTAAAAAAAAAAATACAGCCTGACTCGAAGGCCTTGCGTTCAATTAACTCTCCTCGTTTCCTTTCTTGCATCTTGTCACATCAAAGGGTAACGCAGTGTGAACCAGTCAGAATAACCAAGTCGTAAATTTCGTGCAGATAAAAGCTTTCTGCATGGCATGTCTCGCCATTTTTTAAATGAAAACAACATTTACCTCCATTCTGAGTTTTTTTCTAACATTTTATCTCTCTCGCCAATTAAATACTAACAAATGGAATAAAATAAAGCAACTGTTGGAATTAATTTACATGACTTAACAAACAGAAGGCCAGCGTTTTCATCTACACATTGGCATGTTCCATATGTTGTGTGCATAATCGCGAACATACTGGGTGTGTAAGAGGTAAAGACCGCAGTGCACAACCACGGAAATTCTTGCAGAGGGTCAGAGAGAGGACTAACATTTGTGAACAAAACTATTGCAGTGGTGGCTGGTGAATGATTTGTCACAGGTTCTGTTGGTGAGAATTTCAATGACTTGTGTGTAGGAGAGAAAGTTGATCGCAATCATTCTGGACGATTAATCAGACAATGGCAGGTCCCTCGTTTCATTTAACAGCTTAAATTAGAATCATCCCCCCCCCCCCCCCTGCTGAAGCCAATGAGATTGAGTGATGGACAGTTCCAGGACATCAACAACAACTTGTGTTTACATAGCACCCCTCGCTCAGGGTAGCGTCCCAGAGCGCTTGAATCGCTAGGACTTGAAATCGGACTCGCTACGACTCAAAATCATGGCCTGCGTGTTGGCCGCCAAGTTTTCAACTGCTTGAGTCAGAGATATAAAAGTAAACGGTGGTTAAGCTGCTCATTTCCCAGCAGCAAATTTGGAGACCCACTGATTCCGCCAGCTGTTCAGATATCAGTCGAGCAGCCTTTCAGCACGATGCTTTGTAGCAATACAATGTCTTGTCTCCCCGAGTGAAACGGAAACTCGGGCCACCTCTGTAAGGATTCATTTGTTTTCGTGACCCTGCGGTGAGGTAAGGACTGATGCAAATGTTGTCCAATTAATCAAGGTTTATTAATGCAGATTAGTAATGGTTATAAGTAATTAGAAGAATACATCTAATTATGCTCACGCATCCACGTGAGTTCTCAACGATTTAAGCCGCCCAAACCAATGCTGTGGGAGAGATAGAAGACCAATGTCCAATTTAATGTCCCATTTGAATCCAAATATAAGTTCTCAATAGGTATGCACGTATTGTTGTACGGTTTCCAGTTCGATATCACCCAACGTAGTCTTGATCTTCTTTCTTTAGAAGCTGGAATATGGTTTGCGACTCCAAGTTCTAATTTCTTCCTTTTCTGTCGAATCGATCTCTGTTTATACCGTTGATTAGGTGACTTTTCACCTATTTCTTTGGCTAGATGGCTCCTTTGTGGGAAAAAAAGCAAATGCAACATAGCTCTCGCTCCAGCTGCAGAGCATTTTCCGTGAGAAAATGACTCAGAAGGAATGAAACAGTTTGTTGTTTACAAACAGTCTTTTGTTTCTCCTCCTTGAGCGAGGATCTTCTTAGAAGCTCATCACAACTAGCTCCCCTCATATGAGATTGATAATATGTGTCAAATACACAAACATCGCAAATATAATTTGAGATATTATTTAACACATTAATTACAGGAATCCTTCACTTCAAGGCATCTGCAACATGCATCAGAGTCTCTGAGGAAATCTGTTCCTCATTTGCCTTCTCCCTACAGCTGAGTTGAGTTACCGCGATTGGAAAGTAAAGACAAACCTACGGCAAAGCACAACGAGGGAAAGCAAAAATACAGACAACTGTATTTTATGAATCAGGGAGGAGTTATCAGGAATTTCACGAGCCCAGTTGTCAGTGTAGAGTAGCGCCAGGTCAGATATAGCTGAAGATTAATGCTCGCTCTTCTCTTGCCACCCACTCCCACTCCACGGTTAGAAACCAGAGCTCGTCCGAGTGGAACAAACTACCCGCTCAGCTTGGCAGCACACTGGGACTCCCACAGGGATTTCTTTTAATCCTATTTCTTTTGAAGAGTTCAAACGGTAGGAATCTTGGGTAGAAGACTGAGACATTAATACCTGAAAAGTGAGCAAAACCGCAACACAGTGAGAAGCTTGTGTTATTGCAGCCCAATCTTCAGAATAGGTTCGTATAATTTGCAGAATTTATTGGTGCTTTTTTTTAAAAAAAGAAGGAATCAGAGTCGATCGATGGGGACTGGGCTGGTAATTAGGATTATGTCAAGCCAGCCTGTGCGATCTACTTCCAGAGGAAAGAATGTCCTGTGGGTCAAGTGGAATTCTGCAGAGGCATCCTATTTATGGAGTCCTGGAGTTCAATGGTCAGAGCACTCGCCTCGCAAGCGAAAGGACCTGGGTTCAATTCCCGGGCAGGGCGAAACGTTGGGCAAGTTTTCTCACTCCACACGCTTCTGTTTAGCCAGCAGCAAGTCGGAACCCGATTGGTGGATCGCTTTTCCGGGGGTAATAATCCCTTAAAAAAAATTGCGTCATTCAATCCACGACTGTTTGTGGGACGCTGCTGTGCGCAATTGGCTACTGTGCGCAATTGGCTACTGCGTTTCGCCCATAAAATACACAGTTAATTAATTTTACATTTTACACTATATTCCGTGAAGCACTTTGAGACGTCTGGAAGACATGATAAGGCGCCATATCAAATGCAAGGATTATCATGGGGGAAAATCCCGATGGTGTAATGGGTAGAGCAGCACCATGCTGAGTTTGCTGGTCTCAGCTGGGGCTTCAGGAGGGTCTTTCCCAGGGTTAAGGAGGATAAAATCAGGTGAGGTTTCCCCTTAATAGAGAACACTCATTTCTGTTTGCTGGCTGTCATCCTGTCACTAACACAAGGGTCTCTGAAATCTCAACTACCAAGTAATATGGCAGAAAACCTCAATGATCTTGGCTCTGCAAGTGTTTATGTGGTGTGCACTGTGGATTTATTTAGATTCCGTATGTTCGATGTTCCCAGCAGTATATGTCTGAATTATCCCTTTCGTTTTGCAGCGATCTACCTGGGCTGTTCCTATACGTCGTAGTAATGGGACCCTGTCAGATACCATTAAATGGTTAATGTTGTGTTCGATTTGTAATTCCCCTTTTTATTAAAGAGAGAGAGAGAGAGCTCCCACCAAATGACTGATTCCATCAACGGCAAATATTGACTGGTTAAGCTCTGCGCTCAATGTCTTAGATTTGGGAGTGTCTAAGTAACACACTAAGTAAAACTTACTCCCAAATCTCCTCTTGGCCTCAGCTCTCTCTACAGACTAAAACAACTTGTGTCCCAAAGCATCATTGTCTTCCGTCCCAGATTTTAGCTTGTAATTGTGAGAGGGTCCTGGTGGGGTGGGGTGGGGGGGAAAGAGATGGAATGTGGTATCAAGAAATAGAAATGCGGACAGGGATAAAGCAAGAAACTAGGATTAAGTGGATTATGCTTTCACAGAGCCAGCACCGGCACGATGGGCTGGATGGCCTCTTTCTGTGCCGCAAATTTCTATAATCGTAAATCCTTTGAGCTCCTTAAAATATGTTCCTTAAATGCAAAGTGGACACATTTCTTCATTGACCATGGAACGTGGCTACAACCAAGTTATAGCCTGTCACCGCAGCATGTGTGGCGTTATGGTCTGTGGTGACTTAATTCCAAACGCACCTCCCACGGCAGCATTCTAACTCTACACGTCACTAAATAGCACCATTATTTTTAATCGTTTTGGAGTCGGGATGGCACGGCGGGGGCGCGGGTAGAGAGAGGTCTAATTGTGAAATGTTTTACAATTTATCCTGAGGAGACTAGCAGAATCTCACGATATTCCCAGGTGTGCTTGTTTAGGTTCGATTCGTTTGCAATCGCAGAGGCCGTGCCATCCTTATATTTGTGTCACTGCCTTCAAAACCTTGTGACCCAGAGACTGCCCCAGAAAACTCATTGAACGACCCTCTGGGAGGTCTCTCTGAATTGTGTATCTAAATCTCAGGGTGATGGCCCCGATTCAGCTCCGTCAGTACACATGAACCAAATTCTCTCACACTCTTGTTTTGTGGGTGGCCAGGGTCAGACAAGCGGAGAGGCAGCGAACGAGAAGAGGAGGACGAAGAGAAGCTCAGACGCAGACAGCTTCAAGAAGAGCAGCTCAGCAAGGTACGGTGTCAGACTGCCAGAGAATCTTCTTTGAATCACAAGATCGGTTTGGGCGATGCTTCCTCTGCCCGCTCCCTTCGCTCAGTTTCCCAGGCTTCTGCACGTCTTCTGTGCCTTCAGCCACCGAGACCCTAATCTCTGCAACTCTGCCTCAAATCCCCCTGCCTTGCCCCGTTCTTTATCCGAGACGCCGCTCGACCCGAAGCGCGCTATGTAACTAGTATGTTGTTGTTGTTGTTGTAGATCCAGTCAGGCCTGGGGAAGCTGATCCTGAAGGAGGAGCTGGAGAAGGAGAAGCAGCGGGCTGCCTCGCACACCCTCTCCGCTGAGCCCCAGTTCAGACCTCGCTATGACTCAGCAGGAAACGCATGTAAGAACCGAACATAAATCTGCTCTAAGTGACTGAGGGAAATAGCTTCTATCACCGGTCCTTAATCCTTCACTGCAGCCTCTGCAGATTCAGATTGATGACCTGGCTTTCCATTGCTCTCCTGTGGCTAAGTTTGTTTTCTCCCTTGATATGATCTTTATTTGTACAGCGTTGGGGCTAGTGAGTCTCCTTCATTTTTCAAGCGCACTAAAAAATAATAATAATTATAATTTGGTCGCTCAATCCACGACTGTTTGTGCGACGCTGCTGCGCGCAATTGGCGGCCGGGTTTCGACAACAAAATCTACAGTCACTTCACGCTACAGTATATTCTGTGAAGCGCTTTGAGACGTCTCGAAGACGTGATCAGGCGCTGCATCAAACACAAGGATTATTATTATTGACTTTTGGGCAATCCGTTAGCTTTCAAAGTTTTTAAATAAAATACAATTCGGGGGTGGGGGGGGGGGCGCTGGTTGGGGAAATGGGGTGGGGAGCGGGATGGCGATGGGCTGGTCAGTGCTTTCTGCTTTTCTTTCCGTTCTCCCCCACCCCCAAAAAAAGTTGTAAAATAAATAACAACAAAGTCGAGCGACAAACAAGAAGCTCGCGGCATCATCTTCACACGGTGACACAGTGTTGAGAGGAGCAGGTGTTAAGTCATGGGGATGGAGAGCAGAGCGCGCGCGGGGTAGGGGGGGGGTGTGGGGGGAAGCTGGGGAATTGTCTCTTTTAATAATCTCTTTCAAACCAGGGAGGGCAACGAGGAAGGCTGTGATCTTATTCCGAGTGTTTGCTTAACTTCTGTGATCTTTCCCTGTTGCTGTTTGAGGTTCTAATGTGAATCTCCCCTTCCTCCCCTTCAGCCCTGCATGCCTCTGCCTCCAAAACCTCCTCTCTCCCTGGTTACGGAAGAAATGGGCTGCATAGGGTAAGGCGAGACCAGCATGTACACACGGCAGGGCAGAAGTGATAGGGCCTGGTATCATTTTGTCCACCCCACCCATTTCCCCCCAACCCCCAGCCCCGACCGATCCATTTCCCTGACATCCCTAACTCCAGGTTCTCACGGTCTCGTTCTACGGTTTTTTTTTAAAAAAAATGAAATCCGCGTGTGTTTCGAGAGATTTAGATCTTACCGTGACAAAGCTGCTAAATGTTGGATTGCTTCGTTGGTTTATTTTATTTTTCAACACCGGTTAAAGGTCACGCATGTTCCACCCCATCAGGAATAGTAGTGGGTGCTTTGACAGTGAAAGATCCCAAAATAACAACAGCTGTGGGTGGGCCTTTGCCACTGAATCACTGCCACTTAACATTCATTATCATTATCAGATCATTATCTGCTATGAAACCAGTTATTTAATCTGCAGCTTTTTGCTCCTTACAGTGGCTGTACTTGGAATAGCTGTAATTAAGAAGAGGTAGAGTAGGCGATCAAACTCACTCTTTCGTACCGTGTACTCTCCCCTACTTATTTAGATGCGAAAGTCAGAAAACGTGCTCAGGGTGTGATGATACATTGCGTCTAGTCTTGCGATAGATAAAGATCCATTGATTATATGACCACCAGCTCTAGTGCTGACCGTACCAGGATTATAACGGAGGAATGCGGATTTGCTGATAGATCAGCGGAAATCGACGCATCACAATGTCCTGTTAATAGACTCGTAATGACTGAATTGCTGACCTAAATCGTTGGTTGTCTGATTATTGTTTAACTTTTGTTCACCAGCCACAGTCCACGGATTTTACACAGTACGACAGCTACAGCGACATAAGTGAAGGTGTGAGAGGTAGGAATGTCTCTCATTCAATTCAACCTAGAATTGTTTTCAGCTGGAGCATGAAGGCTGAATCCTATCATGTTCTCTTAATTTCATACAATAATGATAATCATAATAATAATCCTGGCGTTTGATACAGCGCCTTATCACGTCTTTGAGACGTCTCAAAACGCTTCTCAAAATATACTGTAAAGTGAATTGACTGTATATTTTGTAGGCGAAACAGAAGAGCCAATTGCTATAATTATGAAGAGTTATCATATAATATAGTTACCATATAAAGCCTTGTCACATTGTTGAGATGTCCAATACATAAAGACAGGCATGTCATACAATTGACATTTCTGTAGTGTCTTTCATGTTGGGAGAACGTCTCAAAGCCTTTTAATGTAAGCAGCTTCATCTTTAAATGTGTGTAAAAAAATAAAAATGCACTCAGTGCTTAAAAATATTAACGTAAAGCCTCCTTTCCTAAAGTGCAACAAGTGTCTCTCTCCGACTTCCAACAGCAGTTCCCATTAACTGATCTTAGTGGGGAGAACCGGGGGGGGGGGGGTGTGAGTGTGAATAAAGTAAGCAATGTTGGCCCAGAGAAGGAAAAGATCAGCCAAGATTCCTGATCCAGTGATTCACTGCTGAAAAACTCCATCTCAAGACCCTCCTCCCTGCCTTCCACCCCTCCTGAACCCAACCCCCAGCTCGGGTCCAAATCCTTGACTGTCCAGCGCCTTGGGATGTCCTCTCAACATGAAAGGTGCTGTGTAAATGTGAATGTCATTTCTGCCCGTTCCATTTTCGTACCAATCGACAGTATGTCCTGCAAAGCCTTTTGAGACGTCTCAAAGACGTGATAAAAAACTATATCAAATGCAACTAGTATTATTATTACTGGGTTCACCTACAAAATGTACACTGCAGAAAACTCTACGAATCACTTTGAGATGTTTTATGTTAGTACACTATATTGAATGCCCATTTGTAATTGATTATGGAACAGAATTAGTGGTGAAACAGCCACAGAATAAAAAGGCTTGTAGATTTGTAGCTTCAGTTATACACAGAGCGATATCTAAAAGTTTACGGTCTGGAATGCACTGCCTGAAAGGGTGGAAACCGATTGAATAACAACTTTCAAAAGGGAATGGACAGGTACTTGAAGAGGAAAAAATGTGCAGGGTTATGGGGAAGGAGCGGGGGAGTGGGACTGATTGGGAAGCTCTCCCAAAGACCCAGCACAGATACGATGGGCTGAATGGCCTCCTTCTGTGCTGTAATATTCTATGATTCTATGACTTTGTGAATGTTTATTGCAGTAATGTATCTGTCTGGCTCTGTTGATGGATACCAATGAGATTGTGGTTTCTTTTTCTTCTTTTGCAGATTCCACGGTACGTTTGCATAATGAGGAACTTCTAAAATAAATTGAGCACAAGAGGAAAAAGACAAACTCCTTGCATGTTGTAATATTCCTAAAGAGATGCATAAATCGACAAAACACATTAAATTGTGCTGGTGCATCTCTAGGTTATTTTGTATTTATTTCCAACAAAATACTTCTGAACAGAATTGAAACCTGTTTAGCACTTAGTTAATTGTAAGTGTGAAACTGTCATAATTAATCATAATAAATCCTAATATTTAACGTAGGGCCTTTCACGTCAGGAGGACACCTTGAAGCGCTTAACAGAATATACTGACAAGTACTGTATATTTTGTGGGTAAAGAAGTTGTGATTAAATTGTGCAGTGTTCATGAATTGAAACTGCGGGCAGATAAAATCAGTAGTTACCGTCAGAATGTGTAACTATTTTCACGGCAGTTAGTTTCAAGCAGAATCTGTATTTATTCCTTTGAATTCTGGAGTGATGTACATTACGCTGTGTGTACGCTTTCCATGCTGGGTCAAAGCTGAATCGAATCAGCCTCCCGGTTCATCTAGAAATTATAATGCACAGACCCCATTATTGACATACAATACATTGAAACACCTGAGAGATCGGAACCAACACCTTCAAGGAATTTGGGATCTTAGCTCTACTTCTGATAGAATTTTGAAGTAATGTTAAATATCAAAAAAAAGGCAAAAACTGATAGTTCTCTCTCGATCTCCTTCTCTCCTGTGTAGCCCACACAGGATGGAGCCGTGCAAGGGACAAGGATGGACCGGGGAGTTTCCATGCCCAATATGTTGGAGCCAAAGGCAAGTTCATCCCAATAGGAACACAAACCCCAACTCTGTCGCCTGCGTTTATTTATTTTGCATCCTTAATTGAGATGTGTTTGATATTTTACACTTCTGACACCGCACCTAAATCTGCTTCAATAAATCTAGTGTGTGAGTGTGTGTGTTGTATGTGTGTGTGTGGTGTATGTGTGTATGGTGTATGTGTGTACGGTGTGTGTGGTGTGTGGTGTGTGAATGTGTGGAGAGGGATATGGATTGGAAACTGGTAGACGGTGAGCAGTGAAATTTCACATTCTGAAGTATTTTTCTTGCACTGTACAGATTTACCCATATGAAGTGCTCTCGGTGGCCAACAGGGGGCGCCACAAGCTACCGAGGGATGTAGATAGAACAAGACTGGAGGTGAGGGCGGCTTCTAAAAATGTCAGAGGGTATCTGGAAATGAACTGCGTTACCTGAGACAACAACAATTTATATTCAGTTTACAATATAGTTTAACAGTTCAGAGAATTTGCAATGTAAATGTACAATTTACGTGCCCTGGAACCTCCCTAACCTCTCCAACCTGCTTACCCCCCCAGTCCACCGCCCGCTGCCTCCGCTCAGCTGTCTCCGGCCTCCTATATGTCCCCCCCTCCCCTCCGCTCCATCATTGCGGGAGTGCTTTCAGCCACTGGGCCTCAAAACTCTGTAACTCTCCCCCTCCACTTTCCCCCATTTTCAGATCATGCCTGAGGACCGCCTCTTTGACTTATGGTCTTATGGTCCTGTGCTTATGGTCATCTCCCCACCCCCCAGCTCCCGGCTTACATCAGGCTCCGTCCCTGTTAAGCTCTCCGAGCCGCTACCCTGCCTGATGAGCGCTATATAATTGCAAGTGGTTGCTGCGGTTGGAATAGCTGCTTTCACATTGGAAGACCGTCTCAAAAGTCATAGACTGTGCATCTGCTGACTTGCACGGCACTGAAGCACGCAGCAGAAAGCTGCAGGATCCGTACCCCAGCCCGCGCTCAATGAGCTGATCTGTGGCCGGGCAGCAGTTGGAGACGCTGCTGTTCGCCCGCGCACACTCAGCAAGGGAAAGGGACGCAAATCAGCCAGAAGTACACTACCTAAAGAGGTCCACTTGGGTGAGACGCCAGAGGGTGAGAATAATAATCCTTGCATTTGATACAGCGCCTATCACGTCTTCGCGACGTCTCAAAGCGTTTCACAGGATACACTGTAAAGTGAATTGACTGTATAGTTTGTGGGCGAAACGCGGCAGCCAATTGCGCACAGCAACGTCTCACAAACAGGTGTGGATTAGCGCCCATGGTGCAATAGCCTTGCAAAGCATCACTGCCTTCAAAAGGGGCAGAAGGGGCAAGGAGAGGAAGGGGTTAAACAGCGATTAAAAACAACCAATATAAAATGCAATGCATCAACCTGGCTCAATGGCAGCACTCGTACCTCTGAATCAGAAAGTTATAGGTTTAAGCCCCATGTTGGACCTTTGAACCCATATAGGTGTCAGAGGTGTTGTCCTTCAGGTGAGATGTCTACCTGTTCAGATGGACGGTAAAGATCCCAAGGCACTCTGTCAAAAAGAGATGGGTCGGTTTTTTTTCCCCCAGTGCCCAGGCCAACAACATTCCAGACTTTTTGTTTAAATTCTTCATTCACTTCTTGGTTGTTTGTGGGACATTGCTGCACGCAGATTGGCAGCTACGTTCGCCCACAAAACACACAGTCACTCCACTTTAAAGCGTATCCTGGGAAGCGCTTTGAGGCATCTGGCAAAGTGTGAAAGGTCCTGCATCTAATCTAAGTTTGATTTAAATTGGTGAATAAGTTTACAAACGGCAACAACAACTCGCATTTATATTAGCCCCCTTTCACACACGATAGCATCGCAGAGAGCTGCACAATGGCGGGGTTGGACAGTGAGCCAAGGAAGAACGTGGGAGGGGATGGTGAGGCAGCCATGGTTGAAGAGATTGGTCTATAAATAATAATAATAATCCTTATCAATATTATTATAAATATACCACAAATATACAGTCAATTCACTTAGTCTATTCTGTGAAGCGCTTTGAGACGTCTAGAAGATGGGATAAGACACTATAGAAAATGCAAGGCTTATTATTATCATTATCAAGAAGGGAGAGGGGATTTGTAAGAGTGTAAAACTGTTGGATTTCAATCTCACTCTAATAATGCACCCGTTTCCTTGCTTATCTTTTTGTGCTCTCAGCGTCATGTGGCACCAGATGTGTTTCACCATCTCTTCAACATGCCCATCCAGCTTTTCGACAGGTTACCACTGTGGAAGCGAAATGAGCTCAAGAAAAAAGCCAGACTCTTCTGAGCTCCACCGTGCGAATTGACAAGGGAGCGAAAGAGAGAGTGGGGATGGGTGGGGGGGGGGGGTGTTGGGGTGGGGGTTTGGCGCAGGGGGAGGGAGGGTGTGGAGGGGAATGGGGAGGACACCCCACTTCGGCAAAATATTCAATGAAACTTTTCCAGAAGCGAGCGAAATGCAAAGCAATTTTTTTTTCTCTCTCTCTCTCTCTTCTTACAAAACAAAAAGAAAAAGCTTCTGAAGAGTTTGCAACAGTTTAGCCGAGTGCAGGATTTGTGTAATTGGAAGGCGGAGGATAAAGGGAAACTCGGGGTTTCCTTTAGAATTGTACCGCCATCGCTCTTGAGTACGATTAACAACAACAACAGCAACAAATTGCATTTGTATAGCGCCTTTCATGTCGGGACAACATTCCAACGAATGAACCAACATGAGCTTCCAACTCTTGGTAAATATTAAGCGGCTTTGATCCTTTGAGAATATTAAGCGATTGGGTATTGTATTGAGTTGGACAATTTTTTTTAGATCGACTGATTTGAATACAAGGGGAACCAGGATTAATATTTAGTAGCACTGCTCCTAGCAAAGTTGTCTCTGCCTGGAACTGTGGAAAGCATGGGTTTGTGTTTTGGGAGGGAGGGAGGGTGGGAGGGAGGGAGTGGGGAATGGGAAGGAAGAAATCAAACGAGCTAATTTGTAATTCAAATTATGCTTTGAACTCTTTATTGCTTGAAACCTTTTACACTGTGTGCTATAGTTGAAAGGGTTGAATGTACAGCTGTACGTAACCATCACGTGGGTCAAAACAAAATGTGGGGTTGGGGGCGGAGGAGAACACATTTTCTCTGAAAGTCAGCAAACGCCCTAACGAAGCAATGAGCAAAATATCTAGCTTTGTACGTTGCCGTTGCTAGTTAGCTGTTAATATGTTACTGCGTTCATTTGTGTTGAAAGCAAAGCAAGTTGTGCACATTTCCTCGAGTCTCTTGTCACTGTCGGGTTAGTTGCGTGTGTCGGAACCTGCCTTGATATGAGGAGCCGGTCACTTTCTTTACACTTTTCCATACAAGTAAATCAGCGCTGATTTACAAGTAAATCCTCCCCCCCCCCACCCCACTCCCCCCCAAAAAAAATCCAGAATTCTTCTCACTTTGTATCTTGGCCTACAAATGAATGCTGTGAAGTGCTTTGAGACGTCAGCGCAAACGTGAATCGGCAATATATCAAACACAAGGATTCTTTCATTTCAAGACTCTGGTCTTAGGGTTAGAACATGATACATGTCGGTGCTCCAGAACCAATTCAGTTGATGTACTTGGAACAGACTTGACAGACTGACCTTTTGGAATCCTATTTCTCAATACTCTGGAGTTAGTGGCAGGTTAATTTTGCTGTTCCTAGTTGTCCTTTGGTTTCTAACACTTCACTGAGTGGATCATAACAAGACCCCTAGGATCGACCCCCTGTAGCCTGTCTGTCCAGTATCTTTGGCAGATAGACATCTCCGTGTTTGCTGAGATTGCAGTTGGTTTAGCGATCAAGCCCACAGGTATATGTCAGGTTAGGAATGACTTGATAAAGAATCATAAAAAATTCGGTTGGAATGCTCTAGGATTTAAATACTTGCATGTCTTACCTTAACCCTAGAAAGGTGGTATATTCTTCCACCATGGGTTACAGTGTTATAGATCCCAGATGCCCCGTAGAATACTCTAGCCCTGTTGGGCAGTGCTGATAATGATATTCTTTATGAAACTTCAATTAGTTCCAGTGTTCAGACAGTTACTTGGGCAGAGAAATGTGTTCAAAGGCCCGTACAATTTCTGAAGTGGCAATTTTAGCAACTGGTAATGATAAGGGAGGGTTGGAGGTCTTAATATCAGTGAATATGCAGCAGTAAATCACCCGAGTTATTCTTCATAAGTAAACAACTGCTCCCTTTTACTTAGAGAAAGCTGGAGTGTCCAAGCCTGACTGTAAATTTGCTAACACCTCCTAAGTTCTGCTCTGTAAATCATTTGTGCATCTTGGTTGAAATGGATAGCTTTCTGGGTTTATAAGGTTTAATTTTCTGCCATGAAGGAATTTACGAGCTGCAAAGGAAATTTTTGCGTAAATTTTGTGTGTTGTTGACCTGAACGGCTTCAGAAATCCTTTGAGAAATATTGGACCAGCTCTGTTAAGCTTTACAAAGTTAGTTTGTTTCTATACATAATGTCATTAATAAAGCAATGTTGCCAGCATTTTATTTATTGTCTCCTCTTTTTAAGTTAGTCACACTGGTAGTTTTTTCTAATGAGCAAAGTGCATGATGAATCAGACCATTTCTGTGCAAGCAATCGATACGCACTCAGTGGTGAGAGGCCTCTGTAAAGTCCCCTTCGCGGTTTCCGTTTGCAGAGTATGCTTTGTGGCGGCCATGTGTTGTGCAATATTAAGCAAAACTAGAAGTGATCCTAACAAAAGATCCTCAATAATCAGAACGAGACTCTTGGTTGAAATGGATGTTGTGGATTCCTGTATCTCAGTGGTTAGAGCGCTCGCCTTGTCAGCGAGAAACCGGGGTTCGATTCCCGGCAGGGTGAATGTTGGGCAAGTTTCCTTACTCCACATGCCTTTGTTTACCTAGTAGTAGGTAGGAACCCAGTTGTTAGTTTATTGGCGGATCGCTTTTCCGGGGATAATAATTCTTTCAAAAAAATAATAATAAATTGGTCACTTCACTCCACGACTGTTTGTGGGACGCTGCTGTGCGCAATTGGCTATCGCGTTTCACCCACAAAATATACAATCAATTCACTTTACAGTATATACTGTATATAGTATTCATATGCTATGTATATGTATATACTGTAAAGCGCTTTGAGACATCTCAAAGACTTGATAAGGCACTATAACAAATGTAAGGATTAAGATTATTATTATTATCAGTTTTCTTTATGAGTCTCTAGTTGGCGTTTAAGAAAATATTCTGTTTGGTGTGAACCATTCACGCGTTTAGAATCCTTCCCGAAAGGAAGGAAATGTCTGTGTTAATACCATAACTCTCCGAGCAGATTTTTTTCTTGTTTGAGGAAACACAACCGACACTGAATTCTTTCATTATCGTGCACTACTTAAAACACAAGGGAGCTGATTAGCATTGAACTAACTCTGTAACAGCTAGAGGATCACTGAGAGGCACAGCAACATCTGATACAGGAGATATCAGAAGAATTTATAAACAAGTTCGAGCTTTTCGAGTTAGCCTCGGGCCTGCGAGCACGAGCGAGTGAACAGAATAAACCTCGGTACAAAAAAATGACTGTTTGAAAGTGGGATTTCACGGGGCCATCTCCAGCTTTCCAGAAGGAATAACTTCCAAACTCATTTCTGCCCCAATTCATATAAAAATCGTTCCGAAGACGACTCTAGGTATAACATGACAAGCTGAACCTCTCTGCCTTGTAGAATCTCTTTGAAAGCTTTGCATCGACTCAGTTAGTTTAAAAACGACCAGGGGCTAAACAGGTGATTGCCCACATTTCTGTGGTGCTCAAGATGGCATCTCACTCTGAGGGCTATCGAGTAGCTTATGGAAGTGGAAAGATTCACAGTGGAAGTGCTCTTGAGGTTCGGGTTCAGGCAAGAATGCAGAAAATCCCGTGTAGGACTCTGCTTCACCTTCCCTTGGAGAACTTGATACTAATTTAAGGCAATACCGCAAATTAGACCCCCTGCAATTAATTTTCTAATCTTGCTCCCATGATATTCTGCGTACCTCTCAGTGTGTATTATCTTTATGGATATTGGGAACAAGGGGAGTAAAGATACACAAAACAGAGCAACGGGTATATCATTATTATTGAAACAGCTCGGGAGAACTGAGAGGGTGGAGAGATTTGGATTTTCAAGTAGGTCGTGTTTTGTGGACATTGATTCAATAGTTGAAGGTTTCCCTGTTACAAAGCAGTGCGTATGGGGGTTGGCATAAAATAGTATTTGAATCCACGTGTGTAGCTAACTGCAGCAGACACCTGTCACTATAACTGTTTACCACTCAAGCCTTTCCTTATCGGCAAACAGAAAGAAATCAGCAACAAATCGAATTAGAATAAAACCCCATTCTTTGCCAGTTTTTGATAACTTCTTTATGAATGGGATGGAGGAGAGAAGAAGTCTGTTTTGCTGCTTGTGTTTTGGATGAAAACAGCTCTTAATACAATTGTGAGCTGTGTTAGAAATCCGTGCAAACTCCCAATGTTTCGATATGAGCAAAAATAATCACATTCCAATGTGGCCACAATTGAGGGTATGCGATCCCCAAAATGGTGGTTGAAATATAAAACGCTGGGCTGTTGAGACGCGGGCGCACCAACGGAACAAGATCTCACTGTATTTCACATTTTATTTGGGTTGGCCTTACCACAGACAAAAAAAAACAGGTTGCTAGTCTTTCGCGTCATTGTGTTTGACAGATGGCATTGCAGCTAAGAAAAGACCGTGTGAATTGTAGGTCCTCCAAACCCTTCAATTGTGTTTTTGGTTTATTTACCAAAAGCCATTGTTTCAGCTGCAGTTCCACGTGTTTCTTTTAAAACGTTGCTCTGCAGTCACCAATGTTTTTCCACGTGTACAAACTCTGTTGCGCTGTCGTTCTCTCTCTCTCTCTGGGTTCTTTTTCTATAAATAATGGCAATATCTGCTGATCTCTATCCTTTGTATTGCAAGCTGCACCTCCATATTACCCTTCTGCACCACTATAACCTGTATCACAGTTGTATTCAGCTCAAGAAAATAAAGAATGTTTTTGTGCTTTATTCTTAAATGTTATGAAGTTTCTTATATTCAGAAATCTGAACAGTTTACCTCCTGTTTCTCCTTTATATAGTAGAGCCGGAGTTGGGACCATGGGATCAGAGCAAGGCTATGACTTGTTATATATTGGAAATCGTTAGAGCACTCGCCTTGCAAGGAAGAAGACCTGGGTTCGATTCCCGTCGGGCAAAACATTGGGCAGGTTTCCTTACTCCACACCCCTCTATTTACCCTGCAGTAAGTAGGAACCCGTTTGTTAGTTGACTGGTGGATCGCTTTTCCGGGGGTAATAATCCCTTCTAAAAAATATATATATAAAATTTATTTGGTCACTCAATCCATAACTGTTTGTGGGACACTGCTATGCACAATTGGCTGCAGTGTTTCACCCACAAAATACACAAGTCAATTCACTTTTGGGTTTGTGCAGCTACCCTTTATCGACCATTATTTCGGGTCATTATTCCATATTATGGTACGGTGAACTTAATAGGCAAATAATGCTATGAGCCAGGCCTGAAATCACCTGTAATTCTTTAATTACTAAATCAGGGGCACTGGTAATTCCATTTGTTGCATTGCACGTGTGTGTGCGCGTCTGCAAATGGTTAGCACAACCTGCAAATTAGACCTCCCCTCCCTGTGTCGCTTCCCTCATAAGGCTTGTAATGCCAACTCAATACTATATCCAGTATCCAAGATAATGGTTGCAACAGTACGCCCCACCAAGACATTCACAGACATCAGAGATAATGTTTATTTATTGTCCCATTCCTTAAATCATACTGCCAGTTGAGTATGAATTAAAAACATGAAGCATGGAATGAGAAAAGGCCATTAGCAGGTTTCCCCCCCTCCCCCACCTTCCTTTCTATAGACCATGAAAAAACATCCAATCATGAAATCCATCCACGTTGTCTTCTGGGGAAAGTTGTACAGAAATATTCAGATTCCCAAGACAATACGCAGAAATACTTCCCCCTAACTCTGCTGTTCAGACCTGGCCTGCTTCCCAACAAAGACATTTCCTTTTCCTCCAGATTTGGTAGCACAGAAACCATTATATCCTGTGGGTAATTTCTTCATTCTGGTCTGGATATGTCCCTGTAACATTTACGTGCAAAGTTTGGATGAAAAAGACCCTTCTGCATATTCGATCTCCTCCTTGCACAAGACCATTGTATTGTCCCCAACTACATATGTATCCAGGTCACTTTTGAAGAGACCATTCAAATACAGCATCAACTAGACTTGTTATAGTCCAGATCTTCATTATCCACCATTTAGTTCCACCACTACCCCCTCTATCATGTTGATCAGCTTCTATCATCAGTAAATACCAGTTACATATGTAGAGATTTCCAAGTTGTGTTTGTGCTGTTCACACAGTGATGGAAAATCTAGTTCTAGATAAAAGTTTAAAAAAAATGCTCGTGCTTTGTGATACTTGAGGTAAGAAGTAGGAATTGATCTAAAATGAGCCTGGTCAGGCCAGACTAGATTTGCTTGTGGTGCTGTGCAGGATTTAATCACCATCTTGGGGTATATTTGTTATAACGTATTTCACAATTGCACCAAACTCATTTCTGAACCCAAAGTTAATCAATGTGCAACGGTTGATTGACAAGTTACACTGCATGGCTCAAGTGACTGGACCATGATCATCAGTACTAACCCTACCTGATAGCTCAGAGACTTCACTTATCCAATGAAAGGACCAATGAAAGGAGTAGGCGCGAAAGTTTGTGAAGCACAGCTAGGATTCCAGGCTCTGTATGTGCTCCCAACACAAATCTAAACACAGGAATTCAGAACGCTTGAGAGACGTCCAGCTTTTGGAATATTTTTTCCAAATCTGCCTTTTCCTGATAGCAAAGCCAACTTAATACAACTGTACAAAAATAATAAATCTGTATGTTTGTCGCTCACTGTTTCACTGATCAGATCCATGGTCTGGGAAGCTATCAAAGACGTGATAAGGCGCTATATCAAATGCAAGGATTATTATTATTATTATTTGTGCGAGTGCAGCAAACCTCAGCGAGGTGTGAGAGGATCTCACCAGGTACCAACTCCTGTGTGATATCTGGGGGGTATGGGGGGAAGCCCCATGATTAGCAGGAGCCCTGGTATTTTTCCCTTCCTTTACCCAGGCTCCTGGGATTACATTTGTGGCTGGGCTGACGGAGGGAGTGGTGGAGAGGGTTTGTTTAAGGAGAAGTGAGAGGTGGTTGTGATACGGTATCACATGGACTCTGCCTTTAAATCTTTAAGGTTAACCTACTCCGAATTTCAGCCGCTGATCATTGACCAGGTTCGTTACTCCACCTCTCCAAAGCTGTGTCCAGGGCCTTAGGACGTCCTCCTGATATGAAAGGCGCTGTACAAATGTAATTTATTGTTCAGTTCCTGCTCTCAAACGACGCCCTCTCCTCTCAGGGTAACAGTGAGCTGAGGTCACTAGGAGTGTGCTGCGCTGTGTGGTACAGAGACTGCCCCGAGAGGCTGGAGATACACTTCTGTCTGTGCAGGGAGAGGGTATGTCTCAGAAGCAAACACAGTGGCCGGCACCTCTTCCAGCAGGATGTCCTCGCTGTTCGCTTCCACTCTTGCAGGCGGTTCTATAGAAGGAACAGTGGAATACTGGTGTTATTACCAGTGCCCACACTGCCTCCTGCTCCTCTTCCCTACAACACACCCCCCTACTGCACCCCACCGAGAAAATCCTGTAACATGTGACAAATTGAGTAGAGGTGCAACATGGGATCATACTGTGATCCGAGAGGGTGGGTATGAGCAAGCGAGCGAAGGGAGTGGGGGCGCGAGTCGGGGGCACATGAGGGGATGAGAGGGGGCTGTGCCTGGTTGGAGCAGGGGGTTGGGGTGAGGTAGTGAGGGAGGATAAATATAGAGTAACTGAAGCCTCCGTTAGCTAACAGAGCTGGTTGTGTGTGGCAGATAGTTTTACCTGCCTCAATAACCGCCATGGAGCAATAAACTGACCTCTCGCATGTGATCACTGATGTGCTGGCTTCCAGAGCATTGGTTTAAAATCTTTTCATCTTTAAACAGTGCATCAAAAGCAGCCAGAAAGGTGGGTTCTCACTCCACGCTGCTTGTTAAATCTCTCGTACCTGACGTCCCGCAGACTTGGTCGGCGCCCATCACATCTGCCTCTCCAGCTGCACTCTCGCTCTCACACAGGACGACTTCACTACAGTGAGAGAGAGACACACACACAGACATGTCAGCAAAACCAGGCTTGGCCACAGTGCCACTGCATCTGCCTCAGTTGTTTTGGTTTAAATCTAACGCAGGGCTAATTAAAATCACTTCTAGATTCTCTCACTGTCAGTCCGTGGCTCAGTCACTTGCACTCCCAGCTCTGGGTCAGCGGTTGTGGATTCAAGGCCTAAGTCGGGCCTTTGAGCTCATTGTGTAACAATAATAATAATTATTATAAAAGCCGTGAAAAGTGCTATATCAAATGCAAACATTATTATAATAATAACTTTTGGTTTGATGCAGCGCCTTATCATATAATTTCCTCCTTCAAGGCCGCTCTCAAGACCTTTCTCTTCAACCGTGCCTTCACCTCCCCTCTCTACCCCTCTATCGACTCTCTTCCCCCTCTTCGCTCCTTCCCTTTGCTCCCCTCACCCTGACCATTTCCCCCGTCCGGGTCCTGACCCAACTGTCCAGCGCCTTGGGACGTCCTCCCGACGTGAAAGGCGCTCTATAAATGCAATCATGTTGTTGTTGAAACGTCTCAAAGCGCTTCACAGAACATACTGTAATATGAATTGACCGTATATCTTGTGGGCGAAACGTGGCAGCCAATTGTGCACAGCAGTGCCCCACAAACATTTCTGAGTGAGTGAGTAATTATTACCATTTTAATTGAGGGAATATTACCCCTGGAAAAGCGATCCGCCAATCGACTAACAACTGGGTTCCTACTTACTGCTGGGTAAACAGAGGCGTGTGTGTGGGGTAAGGAAACTTGCCTAAGGTTTCGCCCTGCCCGGATATCGGACCCTGGTCCTCTCACTTGCGAGGAGAGTGCTCTAACCACTGGGCTGCAGGCCCGCACACTGTGAAGTGCTTTGAGATGTCTCAATGATGTGATGAGGCGTGATATATTATCAAATGCAAGGATCATTATTATCATCAAATGTCAAGATTATTATCATTGTGACCGGGGTTTGCAGACGGTACCTGGTGTGTTGCTGTATCTCCCCCTCGGCCGGCCTGAGCTGAGGGTCCTGGTGTACGGCCTGGATGTGGTGGAGGAGGGTGGCCTCGTTGCTGTATTTCTTGTGACAGTGATGGCAGGTCACCATGCGGGCGTTGGTCATGTGGATGTTCCTGACGTGGCGGCGCAGGTCCCCTGGGGAACGACACCCGCACGCTCAACAACAGCTTGGCGATCGCTGCTCCCACCGCCCACACGGCTCAACAACAACAACTTACATTTGAGCTCACAGTCGAGGCTGACACTCCAGTGCAGTGCTGGTGGGGAAGCGGTGGGGTGTGGGGGGGGGGGGGGAGGAGTGGGGGGGCAGCGCTGCATTGTTGTAATTTCAGTAAGACATTAAACCCCCAAAGTCACATCTGCCCATTTGGGGGTGAACGTCAAAGATCTCGCGATAAATTGGTTGTTCACTTTCTGGCTCTTTAATGTGTGTGAAAGGACTTCCCATTTGGCTACAAAAATCACAGTCGCTGCCCCCTCCGTGACAGAAATCTGTGAAGAGCCTTGAGACGTTTTTGACCCCCAGCTTCAGCCCCTCTCGAACACTTACCAGACTGGTAGAACGCCCGGTGACACTGGCTACATCGGAATGGACGCTCTTTTGTATGAAATCTCTTATGCACGACGAGGTCACTGGGGGGGGTGGGGAGAGAGAGAGAGAGATAACACTGGGGAGAGAGAGAGAGAGAGAGAGAGAGAGAAAGATACCAACAAGGTCACCGGGGTGAGAGATAGCCGGATTGTGTGAGACGCGCTGTATACCTGGCTCTCAGGAAGCCCTGGGTTGGGGGGAAGGATGGGGTTGGGGGAGGGAGTTGGAGTTGGGGGGGAGGTTGGGGTTGAGGGGGGGAAGGTTGGGTTTGGGGGGAGGTTGGGTGGGGGGGGGGAGGTTGGAGTTGGGAGGGAGGTTGGGGTTGGGAGGGAGGTTGGGGGGGAGGTTGGGGTTGGGGGGGGAGGTTGGGGTTGGATGGGGGAGAGGAGGTTGGGTGGGGGGGGAGATTGCGTGGGGTGGGGGTCAGGTTGGGTTTGGGGGGAGGTTGGGGTTGGGGGGGATATTGGGTTGGTGGGGGAAGGTTGGGGAGGGGAGGTTGGGGTTGGTGGGTGCAGTTATACACATTATACCCACACACACATATATATATATTATTTACATGTTTGCTGCAAGAATAGAGTAACCGTAACAGCACATACACACACAGGCACATACACAAACAACAGACACAGGCAGACAGACGCCCACACACACACACACGCACACACACACGCACACGCACACGCACATACACAAACAACAGACACAGGCAGACAGACGCCCACACACACACACACACACACAGTGTTGGAGCCTGGGGCAGTGAGCTCTGTACTTACACTCACAGCCTGACCCCGCCACCACCAGCTTGTCAGCAGGAACCACCTGCCGGACCCTGTTCACAACCTCCACTCGCTCCGTCTCCGTCAGGAAGGGGTACTCACCATTCGAGCCCTGGACCACCAACCCTGGGGGGAGGGGAGAGAGAGCGAGAGAGAGAGAGAGAGAGAGAGAAAACATCTTTAAAGCTTAATGATTCGTTCTGAGCGTATTGGATGATTAGGAATAAAGCCATCGTCAATTTTTGCAGCACTTTTATCAACCCCAGTGTCCGCTTCACTGGGGGTGGGGGGGGGGGGGGAAATCGCTGACAAGTGTAGTGACTGTGTGATTGGTGTTTGTCACAGCAGCCATCGAGGGCTCAGGAGTCCCCTCTGGCTCAAAAGGTTGAGGGTTCAAGCCCCCAGGTCAGGGACTTTGATCTTATAGTCCAGGTCGATGCTCCAAGGCAGTCTTGTATGTGTGTGTGTGTTTTGGGGGAGGGGGCGGCTGCTGTCTGTCTTTCAGGTGAACCATCAACCTCCCTGTTTGTCTGCTCGGGTAGATGTTAAAGATCCCGGAACATGATTGGAAAAGAGAAGGGAGTTTCTCTCTCTCTCTCTCCGTTTCCCAACGTCCTGGCCGACAACCACACACACACACACACCCCCTCCCCAGATAAAATCACCACTTCACGCCTGTTTGAGGGATATTTCTCGTGGCTGTGGGCAAATTGGCTGCCGGATTTGCTGCTTTACAAAACACACAAACACTACACTTTACAGCAACTTTCGGCGAAGCGCTTTGAGAGACTTTCAGGTTAGACCCGGTGAGATAGCAGGATAATCTGATTCTTTTCTGGAATGTGCTTACAGAGAATCTAACCCAAAACCTTGACCCTCAGTGAAACTCCGCTAACTCCACACCACCTGATTATCGTGTTAATGATAAACTAGTCCAGTAACAGCAAACCCGGGACACAGTCTGACTGAGTCTCTCCTGGGTTTAACTATTTATGATCCGTATTATTTGTGGGATCATTTGCTGGATTTCAAAATAATAATAACCAACAGAATACTGTACTTGTATTTGTTTAATATTTTCATCATAATTTATTCTTAAAATTCACTGTCAGATGGATTACTTTCAAGGCGAGTTGATTGGTGGATCATTTTACAAACGGTAATGATCCCTTCCCAAAAAAAAACGTGGTCACTCAACCCACGACTGTTTGCGGGACGCTGCTGTGCGCAATTGGCTGCCGCGTTTTGCCCACAAAATACACAGTCTTCACAGTTTACGGTATACACTCTACAGTATATTCTGTGAAGCGCTTTGAGACGTCTCGACAACGCTATCTCAAATGCTTGGATTCTTCTTATTATTAAGACGCAGTGTCGCAGAAAGTCCCAGTTTATTACACTTTCTCCTCACCCTCTGAATTTCAGACTAACCCGCTGTGCTGATCAGCGCTGTACGCAGGTTTAGATGACAACAACAACAACAACAATAATTCGAGTGTCAAGATTAAGATTGGCGCCTGAATAATAATCATTCACGTCATTTCTGATCAATTGTATTTTTTCAAGGCGTCGGATTATAAATGCGGAATATTATGATGATGATTATAAAAAAAGTAGAACTTTTTTTCTCGCTGGAGCTTGATGTCACGAGGCCAAGAGTCGGGGCAGACACTGGGTGGTGGTGATCACTTACCCCTGAAAGGCAACTGGCTCCATCTGTGCACATTGTCCACCAGCTGCTGGTACTGTAGCTGTCCCAGGGGGTTGAAGGGGGTGGTGATAGGGGGGTAGATCCCTCGCAGGTCCAGGGTGTAGTGTCTCACTGGGCTCAGCCCCAGCCCCAGCCGCAGTCCCCTCTTTAACATCTGGCACAGAGAGAAACTCTTTCCCCTTCTGCTGAGCGTTTGACAGATGCCAATCAGTCGCTGCAACATTTAACAGCTGATTCAGTGACCCGGAAACTCCTGTCTACGTCCTACTGGACAAACACATCTCTCTCTGTCTAAACTTTTACAGGCTTTATTAAACATTTGCTAAACTTTTACAGGCTTTATTAAACTTTTGCTAAACTTATACTGAACTATTACAGACTTTGTTAAACTTTACTAAACTTTTTACAAACCTCACAAAAACTGTTGCAATCTTATTCTGCCAACAAGTGAGCTTCACCGACTGTGATTCTGTTAAATAGCAAATGTACAACAGTAATATGTTAATAATTGTAGGAAGGAATGAGTTATGTACACAGTATTACATAAAAATATAATATCCTCGTGGGGATCGATTGCTATTAGGTGTGTGTGTGTATGTGTTTGAGTGAGTGAATGAGGGAGTGAGTATGTATGTCACCCTCCCCGCGTCCCCACCCACACCCCACCCCACCGGCTCGGCCCCGGGATCCGTTGCTGTGAAGCGCTCTGAGACGCCGCCCGGCGCTATGTAAACCCAAGTCCCCACCCACAGCCGCGTCCCCACCCACAGCCGCGTCCCCACCCACAGCCGCGTCCCCACCCACAGCCGTCCCCACCCACAGCCGTCCCCACCCACAGCCGTCCCCACCCACAGCCGCGTCCCCACCCACAGCCGTCCCCACCCACAGCCGCGTCACCACCCACAGCCACGTCCCCATCCACAGCCGTCCCCACCCACAGCCGTCCCCACCCACAGCCGTCCCCACCCACAGCCGTCCCCACCCACAGCCGCGTCCCCACCACAGCCGTCCCACCCACAGCCGTCCCACCCACAGCCGTCCCCACCCACAGCCGCGTCCCCACCCACAGCCGCGTCCCCTCCCACAGCCGTCCCCACCCACAGCCGCGTCCCCACCCACAGCCGTCCCACCCACAGCCGCGTCCCCACCCACAGCCGCGTCCCCTCCCACAGCCGCGTCCCCTCCCACAGCCGTCCCCACCCACAGCCGCGTCCCCACCCTCAGCCGCGCCCCACCCTCAGCCGCGGCCCACCCCAGCCGCGCCCCCACCCTCAGCCGCGTCCCCACCCACAGCCGCGCCCCCACCTCAGCCGCGGCCCACCCACAGCCGCGTCCCCACCCACAGCCGTCCCCACCCACAGCCGCGTCCCCACCCACAGCCGTCCCCACCCACAGCCGCGTCCCCACCCACAGCCGCGTCCCCACCCACAGCCGTCCCCACCCACAGCCGCGTCCCCACCCACAGCCGCGTCCCACCCACAGCCGTCCCACCCTCAGCCGCCCCACCCACAGCCGCGTCCCACCCACAGCCGCGCCCCACCCACAGCCGCGTCCCACCCACAGCCGTCCCCCTCAGCGCGCCCCACCCACAGCCGCGTCCCCACCCACAGCCGTGTCCCCTCCACAGCCGCGTCCCCCCCAGCCGCGTCCCCTCCCACAGCCGCGTCCCTCCCACAGCCGTCCCCACCCACAGCCGTCCCCACCCACAGCCGCGTCCCACCCACAGCCGCGTCCCCACCCTCAGCCGCCCCCCACCCACAGCCGCGTCCCCACCCACAGCCGCGTCCCCACCCACAGCCGTCCCACCCACAGCCGTCCCACCCACAGCCGTCCCCACCCACAGCCGTCCCACCCACAGCCGTCCCCACCCACAGCCGTCCCCACCCACAGCCGTCCCCACCCACAGCCGCGTCCCCACCCACAGCCGCGCCCCCACCCACAGCCGCGTCACCCACCACAGCCGCGTCCCCACCCACAGCCGCGTCCCCACCCACAGCCGCGCCCCACCCACAGCCGCTCACCCCACAGCCGCGTCCCCACCCACAGCCGCCCCACCCACAGCCGTCCCCACCACAGCCGCGTCCCCACCCACAGCCGTCCCCACCCACAGTCGTCCCCACCCACAGCCGTCCCCACCCACAGCCGCGTCCCCACCCACAGCCGTCCCCCCACAGCCGTGTCCCCTCCCACAGCCGCGTCCCCTCCCACAGCCGTCCCCTCCCACACCGTCCCCACAGCCGTCCCCACCACAGCCGTCCCCACCCACAGCCGCGTCCCCACCCACAGCCGCGTCCCCACCCACAGCCGCGTCCCCACCCACAGCCGCGCCCCCACCCACAGCCGCGTCCCCACCCACAGCCGCGTCCCCACCCACAGCCGTCCCACCCAGCCGTCCCCACCCACAGCCGTCCCCACCCACAGCCGCGTCCCTCCCACAGCCGTCCCCCCACAGCCGCGTCCCCCCACAGCCGCGTCCCCCCCACAGCCGTCCCCACCCACAGCCGTCCCCACCCACAGCCGCGTCCCCACCCACAGCCGTCCCCACCCACAGCCGCGTCCCCACCCACAGCCGCCCCACCCACAGCCGGTCCCCACCCACAGCCGCGTCCCCACCCACAGCCGTCCCCACCCACAGCCGTCCCCACCCACAGCCGTCCCCACCCACAGCCGCGTCCCCACCCACAGCCGTCCCCACCACAGCCGTCCCCACCCACAGCCGCGTCCCACCCACAGCCGTCCCCACCCACAGCCGTCCCCACCCACAGCCGTCCCACCCACAGCCGCGTCCCCACCCACAGCCGCCCCCACCCACAGCGCGTCCCCACCCACAGCCGTCCCACCCTCAGCCGTCCCCACCCACAGCCGTCCCCACCCACAGCCGTCCCCACACAGCCGTCCCCACCCACAGCCGTCCCACCCACAGCCGTCCCCACCCACAGCCGCGTCCCCACCCACAGCCGCGCCCCCACCCACAGCCGTCCCACCCACAGCCGCGTCCCCACCCACAGCCGCGTCCCCACCCACAGCCGCGTCCCCACCCACAGCCGCGCCCCCACCCACAGCCGCGTCCCCACCCACAGCCGCGTCCCCACCCACAGCCGCGTCCCCACCCACAGCCGTCCCCACCCACAGCCGCGTCCCCACCCACAGCCGTCCCCACCCACAGCCGTCCCCACCCACAGCCGTCCCACCCACAGCCGTCCCACCCACAGCCGCGTCCCACCCACAGCCGCGCCCCCACCCACAGCCGTCCCCACCCACAGCCGCGTCCCCACCCACAGCCGCGTCCCCACCCACAGCCGCGTCCCCTCCCACAGCCGTCCCCACCCACAGCCGTCCCACCCACAGCGCGTCCCCACCCACAGCCGCGTCCCCACCACAGCCGCGTCCCCACCCTCAGCCGCGCCCCACCCACAGCCGCGTCCCACCACAGCCGCGTCCCCACCCACAGCCGTCCCCACCCACAGCCGTCCCCACCCACAGCCGTCCCACCCACAGCCGTCCCACCCACAGCCGTCCCCACCCACAGCCGTCCCCACCCACAGCCGCGTCCCCACCCACAGCCGCGCCCCCACCCACAGCCGCGTCCCCCCCACAGCCGCGTCCCACCCACAGCCGCGCCCCACCCACAGCCGTCCCCACCCACAGCCGTCCCCACCCACAGCCGTCCCCACCCACAGCCGTCCCCACCCACAGCCGCGTCCCCACAGCCGCGTCCCCACCCACAGCCGCGTCCCACCCACAGCCGTCCCCACCCACAGCCGCGTCCCCACCCACAGCCGTCCCCACCCACAGCCGCGTCCCCACCCACAGCCGCGTCCCCACCCACAGCCGTCCCCACCCACAGCCGCGCCCCCACCACAGCCGCGTCCCCACCCACAGCCGTCCCCACCCACAGCCGCGTCCCCCCACAGCCGCGTCCCCCCACAGCCGGTCCCCCACAGCCGTCCCCACCCACAGCCGTCCCCACCCACAGCCGGTCCCACCCACAGCCGCGTCCCCACCCACAGCCGCGTCCCACCCACAGCCGCGCCCCACCCACAGCCGTCCCCCCACAGCCGCGTCCCCACCCACAGCCGTCCCCACCCACAGCCGTCCCCACCCACAGCCGTCCCACCCACAGCCGTCCCCACCCCACCACAGCCGTCCCCACCCACAGCCGTCCCCACCCACAGCCGCGTCCCCACCCACAGCCGCGTCCCACCCACAGCCGTCCCCACCCACAGCCGTCCCCACCCACAGCCGTCCCACCCACAGCCGTCCCCCACCCACAGCCGTCCCCACCCACAGCCGTCCCCACCCACAGCCGTCCCCACCCACAGCCGCGTCCCCACCCACAGCCGTCCCCACCCACAGCCGTCCCCACCCACAGCCGTCCCCACCCACAGCCGCGTCCCCACCCACAGCCGTCCCCACCCACAGCCGCGTCCCACCCACAGCCGTCCCCACCCACGCCGTCCCCACCCACAGCCGCGTCCCCACCCACAGCCGCGTCCCCACCCACAGCCGCGTCCCCACCCCCAGCCTCCCACCCACAGCCGTCCCCACCCACAGCCGCGTCCCCACCCCACAGCCGCGTCCCCAGCCGCGTCCCCACCCAGCACCACAGCCGTCCCCACCCACAGCCGCCCCCCCACAGCCGCGTCCCACCCACAGCCGTCCCCCCAGCCTCCCACCCACAGCCGTCCCCACCCACAGCCGTCCCCACCCACAGCCGCGTCCCCACCCACAGCCGTCCCCACCCACAGCCGCGTCCCACACAGCCGTCCACAGCCGTCCCCCCAGCCGCTCCCACCCACAGCCGTCCCCACCCACAGCCGTCCCCACCCACAGCCGCGTCCCCACCACAGCCGTCCCCACCCACAGCCGTCCCCACCCACAGCCGCGTCCCACCCACAGCCGCGTCCCCACCCACAGCCGTCCCCACCCACAGCCGTCCCCCCCAGCCGTCCCCACCCCCGCTCACCCACAGCCGTCCCACCCACAGCCGTCCCACCCACAGCCGCGTCCCACCCACAG